GTCTAAACGTGTCAAACATTTCGGTTGCATTGACGTTTTTATCACCCATTTTATCAAACGAACAAACGAAGCCTCTAGAAACAGCGTAATTCCAGAGCAGTGCCAGTGTCGCCACGTACAGTGGGTAGGATGGCCTTCTCCGGATTGCGGGACTCGCGCGGCACGGAACTACAGTTGCAAAACCACGCGGAACTGTGTCGACGTTTTCGACGTTATGGAAACCGCAGGAACTACGTCCAAGACAGGCAGGTTTTGCTGCCGGCTGCCTAGGTGCCTTCCGTGCTGAGTTCGGTTCTGTTTTCCGATGCCGAGTGCAACCGGCTTTCAATGTTGTTCTGTATTCGTGCGTGTCAGCAACATAGCTGCAACATCGTGATGGCAGTGTTGTGGGTTGTGAACAGAAGACTAGAGTTATCGCCGATGTGACCGTGAGTTTGCGTATCAGTAGCGTAACAACAAGATGAGATCGTAAACTGTCGGGCATTGATGCCGCTGATCGGGCCGTGATCTGAGGGGGCGGGGCGTCGCAGGTTGACATTCCGCTTTACATTAAAAAGGTTAATACCACTTGAGGGATTAGGTGCAATCGATCAGCGTGCGGATAGTCATGTTGGAACGTTGGCTTGAACAGTATAAGCTCCTATCCTACAGTGGTCAATGTGACTGTCGGTTGTCTCGTCCCCGAGAGCGATTGCGCTCTGGGGCAAGGACAACAGTACGAAATCTTGACGGAAAGGACGTATTTTTACAGTGTGGAATTTTATCATTAAAAAACAATAGTAGGTAAAATCGCAAAAAAAAAGCTACCCTTTATTTTGCTGTTTAAATCTACTACGGTTCCTGGAGAAACTGCCCTCCAAGTGGCGCGCTGGGATGAGCGCTAGACGTTTTCGGGCTCGCCACGGCGTAGCTCCGTACACTTAACACCTGCCGCAAGTCGCGGCTTTAACTGCATTCAAATTGATCTAAAAGCGAGTTCTGAGCCCGTGAAACATCACCTCCAGCTGAGTGAATATCCGCTCCACAGAGATTAATGCAAGATGGCAATTGCAGCTTTGCGCGAACAGCACAAATAGAAAAACAAACACTACAATAGAAATTCAGGCTACGACGTGCCGTGCGGGGAAACAAGCTCATGGCTTCGAACCGCATTGGAGCGGCTTGATTTATTGGCTTTCAAATAATCACGGTATGATCCAGCGTTTGATTTTTAATAAAAGATTCATCCCCTGAGCCATTCAGAATACTCTCGGCTGGAAAAGAATAAAAACGCTGGGAATATTTTTTATTGCTTATTCAGTCACCGAGAAATTCCGTCCGTTCAAAACGACCAGTATAAAAGACGGAAACGCAGAGTACGTGTGTAGTGTTCGGGTTAGTGTGGTGTTCCGTTGTACTGATATCTGTGTGTGCCGTGTATGTGCTCAATGTATGTTCACCTGATGCTTCTCATAAGCGTAATGTGTGTACAGTAGAGGATCCCCAAGCGCAATAATGGCCTGAAGAAATCAAATTATTTTTTGCAGAACCTGAATTGGGCGGTACCTAGCGCCACTTAGCCTAGCTACTTGCAATTACTCTGCTTGACCCCGGCATCAGGTGGCTAGCGATATAACCTTCTTTCACGCTACGCGATAAACAACGGCTTCGAGTTTGTTCCTTCGAGAGCGGCTTTTGGTTTCGCGGATTGAGTTTGCCCTTCTCCGTCATGTGCGGTTGACGAAGGAATTGTGACTCGAGGAACACCAAAGGTAAGACGCAAAGTGCGCGAAGTAACTGGGTATCGGCTGTCTCCGTTTAACATCGCAGTGCTGTCGACGAGAAGACTGAGTAACTGCTTTCGAAACGCAAGTTTATGTACCTGGGGGCGTGAATCTGGCTTCGGAAATAAACACAGTTCGCGGAAAGCTCGTGTCACGCTTTTATTTGCTGCTCCTCTCGTCCCGTACAAGAGCCGTAGCGTCCTCGTCAAGCGTTATTGCGCTCGATTTGCTCGATTCGGGGCCGCCATATTGAGATGCAAGCGACGGAGGAACTTTGCTCCACTCTCTCAGGGACGAAAGTTTCTCCCTTTTTAAAGGAAGATAGGTTACCAGACCGTTCCTCCCCTAAGAAAGGACTATCCATACCCTTTTTTCTAAGAGTGTGGTAGCGTCTCCGCTTCACACGAAAATGACCCGTGTTCGATTCTCGCGGACGGCGGGCGATCTTTTTCGAGGGTTTGGCAACATGAGGACGAACGTTCTACAAAGCCAACTACAACATCAACAACGACAACCACTACTAAGACATTAAAAACTACTACGCTAACAACGGACGTCATTTCCAGTGGTGAGAAGAGCCCTCTATCCCTGTAAAATTAGCAGATGACAAAAGGCCGTCGTAGCAATCTCAATGCCTTGAGCTTGTGCCGGGATACGCGCTTTCGCGCGCCCCGGAACAACGAAGACACAAAAGCGTTGAGAACAAAATGGTCAGATGTCAATTTTCTTCCGAACGCTTTTGTTCGTGCACCCCACGGTTTGTGAACTCGACGCCGCCCAATGACTTCGCCGTGGCATGCCGCAGCTATCGCTATGACTGACAGTAGATTACCACAGGACTGCTCAGTTTTAAAAGGAAGCTAAAAAGGTCATCGAAAAAAAAAATCAATTAGAGTTGAATTTCGTAGTATTTTTATCCAGTGAATCTGAACCATCACGCTTATTTCCCTCAAAGATAGAACTAAACGCGGGAAACACGAAAATCGTCTGACCAGTCGTTACGTCATACCAAGATATTTCGGCCGACAAGTGCGTGTAGCTCGCGTGGGCAGCGCGTGCACAACGGAGCTGAAGTTCGTCTGCTTCTTTGTTGCAGTGGTTGTGGTGACGTCAGAACGCCGAGTTCCAATTGGCTCCAATTTAAGCATAGTTGTTAGACCTCAAAGCAAGCTGCCTTGAGATCTTCCCACTATCCTTGATCGTCTTTTTTCGACCTTTTTCAATATAGCGAGAGTGCCAGCACATAGCTTTGGAATCTGCTAAAGATGCGCAAAAGCAAAAATTAAAAAAAAAAACACAAAAAAAAAAAACAATGGACACGACGTTACGCTCCGGGAAGGGGGGCGCTCAGCGGGATTCTGAAAATAATTTTCTCCAGCCTTCCTGCACCGAACTGAAAACTAATCTCAATATTCGTAATCCTAAAGACAAATGAAGTCGATTCAAGTGTCTTTTTCTCAAATACAAAATCGCTTTCGTTTCTCTTCAACGCGTAACGTTCTGTGGCTAGGTGTTGGACATTTCGTGAAGCGGTGGAAATTAACTTTCAGCTGAGAGTCAGCTATCTCGTCTGTTTTTACTTTGTCTTTGTTTTGTCGCGTTCTTTTAAACCAAGATGCCCAGATAGAGGCCCAGCCGTGAGTCCCGACACTGATTGGTTGTCGGGTGGGAGAGGAGCAGACTTGGGAAGTAATCCGTCACAAGTAACGCATTACTTGTAATCTGTAACGTTTTCAAATAATTTTGTCATTGCGACGTTACTTTTTTGCGGCAGCGATTTTTAATGTAATTCCGTTACAAAATTTACTTTAAAAGTTACTTTAATTACTCGTCATTTTGGTCGAGCGGCTGCGAACAGCCGCTTTACCAAAGTTCAAAAACGAGCGCTCTCGCCCATGCATTTTTCTTCACTGCGGGCAACTATACTCCGTTAATGCATAAGCTGGCAGTGCTTTAAAGTTACAGGCACGAGACCTCATCTTTGAAACGTTTCGCTCACGCTTAAAAGGCCCGTTTCCAAAGAGAGCTGTCGTATATCGCGTCTTTACCTCTGAATCTCCTAGTGGAGGTAGACGCTGCTACTGAGCATGCGCAACGCTAGTTCTGTCTGCAGAATTCCAGGGATCATTTCAGGTCGCCGCAAGCCAGAGGGATGGCGGATGTGGTTGCAGCTTTCGCTGCTATGCCAACTTACAGCTGAACGGAGGGCACCTACATTATTTCGCTTAGATACGCTATTCTATTCTTACAGGACCTACCCTACTGCGGGCGTATGAACAATGGAAAGCAGTGTTGCTGAACTTTTTTTCAAAGCTATAAAATTGTTTCTATTGTTTTCTAGATAAGTGTACCGAAAAAGTAACGAAAAATTAATTTCTACCGTAACGAGTAAAGTAATCCGTAACGTTTGAGCTAAATTATTTTGTAACGGTAATCCATTCGATTTTAGGCACCCTAATTTGTAATTGTTATCCACAACATTTTTAAAGTAACGGGCACACGTCTGTAGAGAAGAAGTGAGGGGCTAGACACTGATTGGTTCGAATTAAGACGGGACAACTCCCGTCTTTTTTTTTTGCATTTTTTTATAAATTTTTATATAAAATTTTTAACCTTTGGTCTATTCGCAGCCTTGCACAGCAAACCTTTATTTTTAAGGGCTTATCGGCATAAAAAAACACATTTTGATCAGAATATCAAACAAAAATATTCATTGATTTTGCTGGCCTGCATATCACTCAAATTATTTTCCTATACTTCTTGCGGGTAGACATATAAAATACTTGTGCAATATAAACTAAACAGTACTAGCATGTGATTAACCTCAGGTACTTAAACAAAACAAACACACTTAGTAAATATGTAATCAAACATCAAAGAAAGAAAAAAAAAAAGCAGAAGGACAAGTAAAAGAACACGGACACTGCGCTGACCCACGACTTACTCTTCATTTTCGTATTCCTGAAAATACAACTAAATAAACACGATGAACACAGGGGGGGGGGGGGGGGAATCCCACATGTAGGGCATGCTCACTGTTATATTCCACCTGAAAACTTTCTAACAGGAAGGTACTGTTTTAATTATATGTTTACTATGCAGCACCGACTTGACCACCTCAAAACATTACTGCAAAATAACTTAGTTGGAGTCATCTTATGCCAACATTGCATGCGTATCCTCCTATTTGGGTGCACTCCTGTGACGTGAACTATTTGCCTCTGCATGTCCGGACAGAAACCTCTCCAAACTCAGCTACTTTCACAATCCCGGAAAAGAGCCGCTCCTGACCTGGACAGTGGGAGATGTTATTGACAGAGCGGCAGACACCGTCGGGGATGTCACAGCCATTGTTACCACTCATCAGAACATCAGCAAGACCTATACGGAATACAAGAAAGATGTGAGTGCATACCCGGACTTTTTCTTCATCTTGAAGCCCATTTCTAGCTTTTACCGGGGCCGCAGGCCTTCACTTGGTACGGGTGTCATCCCTTTCTTTGGCGCCGGTGCTCTGCTGAGCAAACATATATATCACTAGGAGTGTATTACTCTAAATCTTACTAAATATTCAATACGGAATGCTTGACAGGGGCGCAAAATATCCCAGGTTTTGTTGCTAACTAAGACCAAAACAATGGAATGCAAACTGGTTAAGACCGGCCATTGATACAAAACTTCGGAATGCCGATTCTTCAAAACTGGCGACGGATGCGCATAAACATGCCTGAAGGGAACATTAAAGAGCTTCAAAAGAAACTCCATTAAAGAAGGTCGTTCTGGCATTTTGTATTTTGTTTGCTTTTTTACCTGTATAAGCTAATCAAATTTTTAGCCCGGTTTTACTCTTACAGACGCGCTATTTATTATCGCTAAATTAAAAATAGCTACCGAAGAACGTAAATGGAGGTTATTCCGAAAGCAACATTTAAATTTTACGGCGATTTTTATTGGGTGCATGATTTACATTAACGTGCAAATCAAGCACGCAATCAAAAAAGCGAAAACAACAAACAATGCACGGGTTTTTGTGTTTCGCGTGACCTTACCCGGCATTCATTTTACACCATCAAACTTTTTTTAACCTCTCAAAAAAAAAACTAAAAGTGTAGCAACTTCGCGAGAAAAAATAAAATATTGTGGCTTGCCATTTGGACTTTTAGTTAGGCTGCGTCTAATAATGTGTTGAACTAAATTTGAAGCAAATCAGTTCCCATGAAAGCACGAGTCGCCGCAATGTCAATAGTTTGAATGGCGCCCGCCAAGTTTCTCTTTGAATTGATTGCCACGCGGTATTCGAAGCACGAATGTCGCGGCGACTCGCGTTTGGATCTTCATTCAGACTATCTTTTGTATGCCGCCTAAGCAGCGTGACACCGGCTTTAGAAAATCGTAAAGGAGAGAGATATTATGAAATGGGTGTTTGACAGGTGCCTTAAGCCTTCAAAAACGGCAAAAAACAGCCTGATTTCTAAAACAAAAAGTAAAAAAAAAAACTAATTGAATAACCACAACAAACAACCAACATTATAACAATAAACGACAAAAAAACAGCGCGAAACACAGAAGGACGAAGCTAAAAAATAAAAACACGCAGTGCTGGCTATGAGGGAACTTTTATCTTGAAAGCAACATTAAAATAAAAGCATCAGGATAGAACGCGGGAAAAATATTCCAGAGAAGACAACCCCCAGTAACTGCCACCAACTGCCACCAACTGCCACCCCCCCCCCCCCCAAAAAAAAAAAGAAAAAAAAAAGAAGCAAGGCTCTACATAGGTGCCACTCCTCATAACATTAGACTTTTCATCAGTAATATCCCTCATCCAGTTCCACACACTGACTAGATGAAAAACCACATTTACTTGCCTTGGCAGAGTTGTACTTGCGTCGTGCTATGATCCAAAAATCTTAACGGCAGTTAAAGGGAATCATTCGCGCGTCACTTAATATGTAAAATTCGCTGAACAATCCTGCGTTTTAATAGTACATAGAAGTTTTAATGTTCTTATGTTTATTAGTTTGTGGGGGAGGTAAGTGGTTATTACAAAAACACAATGAGGGCAGAGAAATTCCTATTATTTCTATTGAGAACGCCTAGACATTATTCATAAAATAATAATTCACAGAAATGGTACGTACCATCATCCAAACGCCAAAAACATTGCTTCTTCCTCCAACCACAAAATCTTGTAAGAACCATAGTTCGCAAAGTGTATAAACAATCTAAAAAAAAAAAAATCCTTTTTTTTTCTTTGTGATGAAAACGAGTATAGATCAAAAAGTGCTTTAATTTCTAGCTAGGTAATAATGCAATTTGCTTTAGTTCTGATTTGCTTGCAATGGGATAGTACACATTCCACTTTTTCTATCTTTATGGCACGTCCTATACATCCAATAAAGGACGAACAAAGTGGAAGGTAAAGAAAGATCATTGATCCTACTTGCTCAGAAGAACCACGCTTGTCACTCGTGGTCAACCTTATGTAATCCTTTCTGGCTTGATGTTTATTTAATTTAAATACAAAAGAAATGTACATAGAATACACCAAATGACAGACAACTGGTGAATAAAACATATTGTTGAATGAAATATATTTTCAGACTAACGTTTACGGGAAAGGTTGGATTTTAATCATCGTAGTAAAACCGGTCTGGCTTAAAGCACGATTTCAATCATAATTAAAATCATCTTGATTTTTATTCTCCACCCAGGCTTTCAGTGCTCTTTGAGATTTCCTAACGGTGTTAACCTGAGTAGGCCAATTACGACTCTAGGTGCCTGATTATTGCGTACCTCCAGTTTCTACTACTGTTTATTGGTTAGATTTAGTGAGCAACGCCGAAGCAGATTATCGAGATCACCAGATCCACGACGATCCTGCGCGCCACTGTTTCGTCCGCGCCACCCCTGGCGCTGCAAACCCTCTGGATGACGTTCAAAACGGCGTGGCATTACTGGGAGATCTTCGGGTCCAATTAGAGCCGTCTCCGTGAAAGTGCGGTCCAAGAATTTAGACAGAAGGGGTCGGCTCAATCCTTTCTCCATCCAGGCTTCGGTACATTCTACCAGCTTATGCCCGCGCCCATTCCTCTCTTGTCGGCAAGGACAGCGTAACTCGTCTTCTCCTGCGAAGCCTTGAGGCGCACGCTGTCGAGATGACTTGACACGATGTCCAGCCCACACTTGAGCGACTCTTGTTGTCGCACGTTCCCCTTGATCGTCTATAGAGAGACGTCGTCCGCATAGATGGTAAAGCGAAGATGTGGTGCCTTCTGTAGTCTGCGAGTGAGTTCCGGAATGACTAGCTTGAAACGCTGGGGCGACAGGACATATCCCTGCGGCACCCCGACTCCATTAGTCGTCTGCTTTTCGAGATAATCGCCGATCCTGACTGCGAAGGTGCGCGCCTCCAGGACCAATTTCGTAAATAATAGCGTCCAGCCCTCAACCGCGAGGGCGACCGCTTCTTGAATAATCGTCCAGTGGTGAACTCAATCAAACGCTTTCCGGACGTCCACGGACGCGACCGTCCTGATGTCAGAGACATTTGGCGTAGGCTTCTTGGTGAGGTCCCTGGAGATCAGCAGAAGACTCTCCTCCGTGCCCAGATTAGGCCGGAGGCCCGTCTGGGCCAGATTGAAGGCTCCGGTTTGCTTCAGTACCATGCGATTCAGGAGATCAGCATCCTCACCTCCCGGCTTGCATACGCACGAAATGAGGTAGATCGGCTTGAGTAGGTGAGGGTACTCTGCTCCCTTACTCGTTTGGGTATCGGCACCACAGTAGAATGTTTCCACGGCTCTCGAACGTTCCGGCTGCCCCACGCCTCGTTGACGTAATTAAGGAGCTGACTTCGAACACGCCAGAATGGTTACGCATCAGGGACACTTTGACGCCGTCGGGTCCTGGGGAACTGTGCAACCTTCAATGATGCAGGGCCTCTTTAATCTCGCTCATAGTTAACGGCTGATTCCTGGGTTCCTCTTCGTTGACCGTGACTAGCTCCTGTGTGTTACTTAAGGCGGTGAGAATCCCAGTGGTGACAGTCTGGAGGAAGATCGCGTCGCCCGCCTCTATCGCCAGTGTCTCTACCGCCATGTTTACTTTTAGGGCAAGCGCGAGCGGCACAGTCCTCTCTCTCCTTCCGTCTAAGATGGCCCGGATGCGTATTTGTAAACGGTAGACGATACGCGGCATAGTAACGCAGCTCGCACCGGACTGGTCACTCCTCGATAAGGACGCCGCGTGGTCGTACGTAGCAAGGCGCGGCTGCTGTGCCGGCAGGCAGGCGTTGCGCGAACTGGTTCGCGTGAATGAGTCGCCAGAGACTCGCCACGAAGCGGCGTGAAAAGGGAGGGTGAGAGGGGGAGTGGGTGTAGGTTCAAACGCGTCCCAGATATGTTCGCGCATCAAAGCCCACTGCGGGCCGGTGCAGAAACCGCACGTTGCTGTGTGTGACGACGCAGCGCCCTCTTCGAGGAGCAGCCAATCCGACGTCCGCGGCGTTGCTATGCGACGCACCGCCCACTGTTTATAAATACGGGGTCCGGATGATGACGCGTAGCTTCTTGATGAAAGATCGTCCAGACAGCGAGGTTCTGAAGTCCAGCCGGTTATTGAGGCTAGAACGATGTCTCTGAAGGATTTGGCGCCTTTCTGTACCGTTGCAGCACGCGCAGTCTCCTGGACGACAGGTTCATGAGATGAGTGCCAGATGGTGGCAATTCGGGCGCTAAGGACTTTTTGGTCCTCGCCGCTTCGAGGGCTTCCATAAAGACGGTCTTCGAACACGACACTGTGCTTTTGTGAAGGTTGTTTTTTTTTTTTCTGTAGCAATGCCAGTTGACAATATGTACGAATCGTTTTTCGGGCTTCGCCGCGCGGGACCCGCCAGAAACTCCACTACCCACTGAATCCGCTTTAGGTTTCCACGAGGGGCTCGCCCCGTGCTTGTTGGTGTTCTGCGTGAGGTCAAAAGTGGTCTGACGTTGCTTCGCGCTCATTTCCAGACTCGTATTTTCCACCTGGATATTCATCAAGGCGTACTATTGCTGCACCATATCGTCCCATAAGGCTCAACTTGCCACGCGGAACCACGAAGAACGACACATCGTTCTGCGTGGTTCCGCCTGGGTAGCGCAATGCGGAGACGGCCGTCTTAGCCCAGTGTACGTAGCGCTGCTGACGCTGCTCCGGAACTTCTCTGTTTCTGTCGGCTTCGTTTGCTCGTTTGATAAAATTAGTGGTAAAAACGGCAATGCAAGCAAAATGTGCGGCACGTTTGGACTGGGAGACGGAATTACAGACGGCGTTTGCTACCGCTAAAGCTCAATTAACTCAACCACATTTATTAAACAATGTGAGGACGAAACCGAAAGAAGGTAAGTCGGGAGGTCGGAAGCTTTCTCCCGTCTGCCTGGAGAAGAAGAAAAAAAACGCTTTGTTCGTCCCTTCTTCCTCTGTCCGCTTGGGGGCGGGTCAGTAGAAGGCGAGAAAACGCGCCGTTGCTACATTTTCCTCCAATTTTTCTTAGAATGTAGGTGCTCCCATATTAGAAAAGAGTTTGTTTGTAAAGCCGCGGCGACAGCTACGTTAAGGAAACAATTGGAAGCGATTCCATGACAGACTCATATGAATCCATCTGATGTTCAGTGTGTTCTAATCTTTTGTTACTTTCTTGCTTTGTAGACCAGAAGTTTAGAAGTTTTAGCAAGGGGCCATATTTTGCCGACACGGGGTCGGATGCTGCGAGCTTTGCGGAGACTGCAGTTTTGCGGGTACTGCAATGCTATCAAGAATATTAGTTCCATTATATTCGGTTTAAAACCCATACATGAAGTCGAAACACACAGCACGCCCCAAGAAATCGTGTAGGTTTTTCATATGGAGGCGTATCACTACGATTTCCGTAGTACCAAGCGCCGTAAGCGCCGTCCGGTGTCAAGCATCGAGTGCCGCTCGCGTCTGCTTGCGAATACTAAAAATATTTATTCTATTGAAAGTGTGAAAGCGCGTCTCACGGCTTCCAAACTGCCACCGAAGCACTTGGGAAAACAAGAAATGACGAGAAAGAACAAGGCAAAAACGAAAAGAATCTTTTAGCCTTCCCATTCTGGGGAAGAAGGAAGACCAGCGAAGCTCTGCTACGGTGGGGAAGAAGTGATGGCCGGCCGGAAGTCGGCAAGCCAGAGTGGAAAGGCTGGGAAGGTTGCCGCCATCTATGAGCTAAGGTGGCAACCAAACAGCCGGCAAGCCGGTTGCCTGGTTGCCGACGTCGCCTATAGATGGCGGGAGCTGTCCAGAGTGTTGTTTCGAGGTTTATTTGCCGGCGGACACGATCTAGGGAAAGTAACCTTTAACAAACCCGCTCTAAATATATATATATATATATATATATATATATATATATATATATATATATATATATATATATATATATATATATATATATATCAGGGTGTCGAACCGGAACCGAACCGAATTGAAAACCGGAACCGAACCGGTCCGGAACTGAACCCGAACTTGAACCGTTATATTGTTATCGCGATGAACCCGAACCGGAACTGAACCGGAAAAAAAATAACGGTTACCGGCTCATGTCAAAACGGTTCGGCCACGCGCTGTTGGCAATGAATGTGCTATCAATTGCATTTGTTTTTTAAGTGCCGTCAACTGACACACACGTCGCTTGCATATTTTTCTTCTCCGCTCAGTCTTAGGAATATGAACGCTGCATCCATGAATCTTGACAAACGCTGCATCCATGAATCTTGACATAGGAACCAGTCTTGCGCTGGTCGCGGCTTGCACGGAAGAAAGAGAATTGGAAGGCTGTGCAAAAAAAGAAAAGAAAAAATCGCGTCACGGGATTTTATTTTCTTACAATCTCATAAATCCTAAATGCTGCTGTGTGCTCATTTCATAACACGCTTCTAGAACGCGCGAGTTCTTGAAGCTTGCTTACATCGGAATGAGAAAAGAAAAGGCTGTGGGAGTTTGATAATAATGCATCGGGTTTCGTATAGGCACTTAGAAGCTAACATATTTGTGAGACAGCGAACTCTTCTATTTTAATATTTATCCTATTACGTCCTTCTGGCGTTGCGTTCGGTGAAGTGTTTTTCATATTCCGTATCTTGTTTAATGAAAACTTCTTTAAGGGTCTAATTTGAGTTACCGAAGGATAGTTCAAATAAAGAAAGCTGTATTTTCTCCCCACTGTTCCTTCAATTGCTTACAGGCCGAGGTGGCGGGATAGTTAGCGAGTTCTACTTGTAAGTGGGTTTGTAAGGAGGTGGCGGATTTTGCAGCCACTGCGTCGGACCCAATTAGATGAAGTCCGAATGCGTAAACGTCGGTGAGGTAACCTTTGAGTGCACATAAAGAAACCATTCCTGGTAGAAATCCCTGAGCCTTACACTACGATGCATCCCGTTTCGTATGTGCTGATTTCAGATGTTTTATTTGTAACTTATTTTGATGTTGCAATTTGTCATTTATAATTTCCGAACCGGTTCGTGGATCGAATTAATCGAACCGGAACTGAACCGGAACAAAATAAATTTACCTGAACTTGAACTGTAACCGAACCCGTATTTTTTTCGGTTCGACACACTGATATATATATATATATATATATATATATATATATATTACAGGCACGACTTTACCAGACACCGGCACTGGTTTCGGGCGTCTTGCAGATGGAAAGTCACTTTGAATATGCAGTTATGCCTTCGCAGTATGGGACAGCGCTTGGGAAATGTACTTTATAAACGCCTTACTCTTGTTAAAATTTGTTGCCTGAACCAAGGCCGGCGTCAATGATAATCCTGTGACAACCTTGAATGGGGTCACCCTACTCAGCTCTAGGATTCTACGGTGTCCCTGAGCTGGAGAGTCAATAACACGCAGGTTCTTCACTTTTGGAGTTTTATATGACTTGCCTCTAACGACATCGCATGCTGGCAGATGACAGACAATGGCAGACAACGGCGGATATTGGCAGATGATTTGAGGTTAGTGGAAGCTATATAGAAAGATACCGCTGGTGTATTCAGCTTCTCTGACATCTAGGATAACGGTGAGCCTCCTATAGTCTAGGCGCTGTTTCCGGGAGAAGCCATAGGCCATGCAAGTGTTCCCAAAATCGCTGCGCAGATTTCATTGCAATACGATAGCATATCACATCTTCTTGTACAGCGTTCCTGCGAGTGCGAGCCTCAACTTCTTACCAACGTAGAAAGAAGCTCGTTTGCAGGCTGCACATGTCACCAATCTGCCCACCCCCTCAATGGGGAGCGCCTTTTAAATCAGTCCCGTGAAGCGGTCCATCGCAGTCATCACGTCACACTAGAACCATAGGCATTCACGTAGACTAGACGGCACGCCGAACGAGTGGTTAAGGAAATGCTTCTCAAAGCAGTTCTTGGCCCACAAGTACGTGTCTAATTATTCGCCATGCGCCGTTCGTAACCCATGCTCCTCTCGCCTGCTTGGCGTCCCCGTCCCGGTGTAATCGAAATTGCCTCTCTTCACACGCTTCGCGAGGCAGCTTCGTCCGCTTGACGTCCTGCTTCCGTTGCAGCCGATGTTGTCGTTCTGGTCAATTTCACACGCCTTGTTGCTCACTGATCCTCCATATTTAACCAAAAGCACCTAGAGGAATTCACTTTCAGTTAAAATAACATTTTTGCTGGCCATAATGTTTTCTTTCTTCAAAAAAAAAAAAAAGATGTACAGTCGTATCCTCGCTTAAAATATATGTTGAGGTACTTTTCGTGCTCGAATATTGCAAGGAAGCTTCTTTTACGGGAATTTTAATGCATCCTCCTGTTTAGGCCTGCCTAACGGTGCAAAAATGATTTAAAAATGAAAGAATGGAGATAAGCATGAGCAGGTGCAAAATAAATCGAAAACATATTTTTTCAACGGCAACGAATAAAATAATTGTTATACGATTTTTCTTACAGGTAGATCAGCTAGCTGCGAGCCTGGTCTCCCTCAAACTTCCGGTGGGTTCCAGGGTCGCCATTCTCTCTCCAAGGCTTTATGAAGTAGCGCAGCTAATTTATTCTGCATCCAAGGCGGGACTTGTTATGGTAAATACGATTTAGGTATTTCGCTGTATCGGGTTAGGGCATTGAAACCACGCGCATTAATTCACCCTGGCTTCCCTTCGCTGTGATATCTAGGTTGGCATCCACGCATTCTGCACGCTTTCTGAACTTGAGCATTGCTTGAATAAGGTAAGTCATCTTCAGCTGGTATAAGTATTCTGCATTTTTTTGGACACGTGTACAACGGGGACCTCCATCCGCGGAAAAATGTGGTCCTGAGCGAGTTATATTGAACCAAAAAAGATCTCGTGAAAAACTTTCTCGAATTACGCCGTAACCGTAAAGCTCAACGCGGTAGAGAAACCCGTCATCTCGTGGTAAGGAGCTAATCTTCCTCCATGTGTACTGGCCTAGGAGGGATGCCTTGTTCGTTTACTCGACTAACAGTGAGCTTCAAACGCAGTCTGTGCAGGGGCAAGATTTCATGCGAAAATCTTCACGCTCTAGCTTAACGGAAAATCTTCGCACGCAGGCCAAAGCAAAATAAAGCATGTATAGCTCATAGCAGGCGATGCAGAAGCAAACACACCAGGAGGCATTCTTAGGCATGATTACACATATATTATTAAAATCAATCGTAATGATCGCTATTTAACGAATTGCTCAGCGGGAAGGGAATCACGGGGAGTGCGTTTTGCTGCTTGACGAGTTTGCTCGGCGCCCCGTCGAGGACGAGAACGGGGTGGGGAACAGCTAGACGAATAGCCCATTCCCCTAACAGATAGCCAGCAAGCGCCGAGCGGATTCCTGTGCCTCTAGCATAATGCGAGCGATCAGCCGTGTGGGTTTTCAGACCGGGGGCTCTAGTCTGGAGCCCCCGGTCTGAAAACCCTGGAGCCTGGAGCCCCCGGCCGATCATGGCGGAGAAATTTCTCAATTGTTTTTTCGTCAAGTGTCCAAATTTATCCTCGTGTGGGTTCACCGGAGCACTCGGCGAGCGGCTTCAACTGTTCTAAGGAAAGGCGGTGGAACTTGAGGAGCGATCAGGAGAAGTTCGCTGCGTCACTCCTTTCCGGAGAAGCTGGATGGTATTCACTCCGAAAATTTAAGTTTAGAACTTTACGACAGCGGTCTTGTCGCTTTACGGCAGCGACTGCTCCAGCTGTACTTGACGATATATAGCTACAGAGATATCTGGCGGTCCTGTTACAAGTGTAGTAAGGATCTGTTTGAAAGACGACGAATCGATACGACGTGGTGCTGAGGTTTTTATGTTCACGTCGAAAAAGAGTAATCGTGGTACTTTTTGTGGATGAAGAACAGTAATGAGTACCACGCTTAATTAGGATGTCCTCATTGTTCCCTGTGAAGGGTAAGTCGGTTGATTGCCTTATAAACAAGGGCAGTAAATATATCCCGCACTCGTCCAGCACGACTTTGGTGCTTTACGAGGGGATGTAAAGGCATCGGAGGGTGGGTGCTGGTGGAGAGTGCAGGCGCATCGGGGCTGAAGCAGCGGAAATGAGATATGGCAGCTGGGCTGCAAGCAAGGAGGCCAGCTGCGTCTGCTACAATGTGTGCCCCTGAGAGTCGTCGCTCTGCCATTCCCAGCGTTGCCGGATGCTTTAAAATCTGCGAGCGCTGGCTATTTGCAAGGGGAAGGGTCTATAGGTATAACTAATTGGATCCCGCCCTTGGCAAAATGCAATACACTAAATGAATACTTAGAATGCTAAAATTGTGCTTTTAGTAGAGCAGCTTATTCACAGTATACTTGTGCAGCTTACTTACAGTATATGTGTACTTGTAGAGCAACTTACTTATAATATAAATGCACCGCTAGACTTCTGAAAGGACACTTGCAAATATAAAGCTTATACATTTACTTAGGCATTATTGTAATGCATTGAGACCACTATCAATTTACTAAAGTAATATACGGAAACAAACTCTTGTGCATTCTCTTGTAAGTCAGCTACAAGCATAATACAGCGTGCTATATAATGCTGTAAGTATGCTATAGTGCAGTGAAATGTTACTTTAAACTCATTTAAAGTGTACGGAGTATATATTAAGGTACTCTGGAGTTATTTGACAATTATTGAGGGTACATGTCGAATCGATAAACTGTGAATTCCGTATTTGTGTTGTCTTCTTGCTCAGTGAGAAAAGGGGATAACAAGGCGACACGTGCAGCTTAGCTATGTATGTTGAGAACAGTTAATTACTTAAGTGATTTTAACGCTTCTTTAAACTGTAGAAAAAATCTTATATGTATAAGAACTTGCTTTGTCCAATAAACGCATATGATCAAACAAGAGCTAAGAGAGCATAAACAACAATTTAAGAACATGTAAGAATAGTATAGATTATATAAGAAGTTATAAGAAACGTCTTATCAGATTCCCATAATTTCTTATATAACCGTATATTGTTCTTATATGCTCTAATATGGTTGTTGTATTTCCTTATGAGATGTTATTTGACCACGTGCGTTTATCTTGCGAAGAAATTTCTTACACATGTAAGATATTTTACTAGAGAATTTAGAGCAAGTCAAAGTTAAATATCACTCATTCACCATACACAATTTTTTGCTGAACACACACTGAGGAAACAAGTTTAATATTTGTTTAAGCCGTTTCTTAACAGTGAGAGAGCACTTGAACCAATAGATAGCAAAGCCAAATTAAATAATCACATTTCATTTATTGATACGGCATTACGGAGGTATTCGCAGACAAACTGATTATAGAAGGTTCATATCGCATTGGCGTTGCTCCAGTGAATATAAACCTCCCATTTCGTTGCGACGTTTTTGTTTTAGATGGCGATATTTATTTCCGACATTCTACAATGCGTGGAACGAAGTACAACAACAGGCGAGGAAAAAGGTAGAAAGAAAGCGCACATTTTATCAATACCCGAGCACATTAGTACGGTAAAGTCCAGGGCAAGTATCTCTCTGACTTGCACTCAGCAGGTACCCTTGGAATATTGGAATCTAACTTAGCTTACTGATCCGCAAAAACACCGTGTGGAAACACGAGGCTCATAGGAGAAAAGAGCGTCCACGCCCCAGCCGGGCAAAAGTAAGTCCACTACAAAACCTCGGCGATCAAGTGTTTACACTCTACATATATAAGCCCGGAACCAAGGTACGCGCAACAGAAATCGGACGTGACCCAGGTTCCCTTGCACGAGCATTCACAGCTTAGAAGTTCCATGGTGCCTGAACTGCAACGCCATTTTTTCGCCACGAACTATATACTACGTCACGGAGCTCTTGTTTCTGTCTGCGTGCATGGTGGCTTGTGCAAGCCATTGCCTCCCGAATTCCTAGCGAAGTATATTTTCTAAATAAGGCGCCTCGGCTACAGGGAGATAGGTTCTAACTCGAGCGTGAGAGAAACTCGGTTATTTATATTGATGGTGGGCGTAAAGCAACAGTCTTCCCCGTATTTCTTTCCTTTCCTGCCCAAAGTAGTAACCAAAAACTACAAAAATACAACTAACAAGCTTAATGCAGGGCGGGAATGTGGGCCGCAGCTTTAATATGGTCCACCGTTATACGATATCGCCAACCTGGCATAAAAAAAAAAAAAATCTTAAAAATGGAAAAAGAAAGCCAACCCCAGTGGCAGGAGGAGGGGCGTTGTTCGCTTTTCACAGTCTTAAAATAAGCATTGAGAATAAATTCACTCGCATTCTTTGGCACTGTGACGGTTTCCCCTCGCCACTGTGCATTGTGTTTGCAAATCCAGAAATAACTTTGAACATTTTACGTGAGGAACGTATCTCAAAACTGAAGCTGTAAAGGTCGATGGAAAATTGCTGGAATGTGGTCGCCAGAGTAATGACATCAAGGAAATTCACCCTAGGCCTCACGTCATCGTCGCGGTTTAATACTCTGAAAGCTCGAGCTCGTTGCTTGCCATGCCGCCCGCAAGTTCGTCTGCCTCTTGTGCAGGGGTCGTGGTGACGTCAGAACGCTTAGCTCTGATTGGCTCTGAATGAAAGATAATGGGCAGACCTCAAGGCAGCATGCTTTGAGGTCTACCCACTATCCTTCAATCAGGGCTAATCGAAACTCGGCGTCTTTCTGATGTCACCGCCCCCATTGTACAAGAAGCAGACGATTCGCTCGCCGCATTACGCGTCTCGATATAATTTCGTGCCGATTTTATTTAATTTTCGTGAAGCGTGTTGCACGAGTGCCAAACATCCGCAGACGTGAGCCGTGTAGACCTTTTCAAATATCGCCTTCTGCACGCTGCCATCTTTGTCTGCTGGGATGTGGAACGCCTTCTGAGCGTGCTCTGTAATTCTGTTGTGCGGTATATTAGACCCTGCTCATGCGTCCACAGCCCGGTGACTCTGCAATTTTCGCCCGGTCACTTCAGCTGATGACGTAATGTCTGTATGCGAGGGGGAGAGTTTTTCGTCAATCGCTGGATATTGCAGCTTACCGTACAGCGTATCGTGTCGTGAGCGCTGCTATTAGGCGCCGGTGAATACAATCATCTGGGCCTCAAAGAGCTTAGCGTAAAATACTGATACGTTAGGTTCCCTATGATCGTGCACTTCCTTGCGGTGAAAAAGAGGTACGGTAATTGTTTTAACACTTTCTGGTGGTGTCAGAGAAATGTCGTACATGGATAACACACATGTGGAATAGCGTAGATTTACTGAATAGTTCTAAGGCATTTAAAAACTGTTTCGTTCTTAATGTGACAATGAAATATCCATTAAAGTACGCACGCTGAAGTTATTTTTTTTTTCTGGTGAGGGGCAGAGCACGGCAATGGGAACTCTTCAGTGAGGCGGTGCTATGCAGGTTGTAGATTAGTCACTCCAACTTGCTTAAAGGCCTCTGGTCTCAAATTATTTCTTTCCACTAAAGTTTCCTTTACGAGCAACCTCGACATATAGTCTGGCGCGCGTAATCTCAAACCGGAGCGGTGTGGTGCCTTAAGTCACCCACAATAGTCTGTCAATATGCAGGGTTTAGGCGAAAATGCACTTCGGTGCTAGCGAAACTAAGGCGCTTCAGTGCGTTCGCTCGTTAAGGCAAACAATCAGTGCGTAAAAAATTATAAGCAAGGTGAAAACTTCAAATTTCCGCTACGACTGCGTGATATTCCGTCATGATGACAACTTAAATTTGCCAAGAATAAACGGGATGAAGTCCTGCGTTCAAGAGTATATAAAACGCGTACTTGCCCAATTTTTTGATGGATATGTAGGCTCATATTACCGACATATTTACTTCAGTTCTTTTTGTCTCGGTTTTTTGCTTTTCAGCACCTTGCTGTGTCGAAAGTTTTCTCCTCTCGCATGGTCTTAAAAAAAAGAAGCTTGCCGAATCTGTGTCAATGTGCATTTTTTTAAAGTTCTGAGCACGCGCAGGCCCTTCTCACGCGGCGGCGCAAGCTCGAACTACGGTTGGTGTCCCGAAGAGATGTTGCACTACCTCTACAGTCTCATATGCGACGCATCTGATTCGCGGAGGTGGCAGGAGATGTAGTGCAGCTCCCCTTCCAGGCGCCACTGGCACTTCGAGCTTTGGCCGTTTGGTGCCGTCCTTCTGTAAAAGAGCGCCCCCTTGCTTTCAGGCGGAGTGTGCGGCTCTGATACTTGCGGACATATGTACAGATACAAATTACTACGAGATGTTGCTTCAAATTGCACCGGAGATGGAGAAGTCGGCGCCGGGAGAGTTGAAAAGCCAAAGGTGACGATTCGCGTCTTGACTTTGATGATGGCGCACAGCTTGGCAGCTGGCTGTCTTCGAAGCGCCGTAACTCTTGATGCCTTCTTCCAGGCTGCCGTTCCTGAAACACGTCATCACCATCGGCGACACCCGGAAGCCGTAAGTACCCTAGAATCGTGATGTGAATCGTGTATTAAGAGTATTACTTTGTCATGGTTTGGTGACAAAGCAATGCGCAGGCAGGAAAAACAAAATGAAACGAAATAAAGAAACAACGCACACTGATGAAGTAAATACCCCCCGAAGAAAAGCGCGACAGGATCGCTGGCATCGAATATTTTCGTATAACTAATGCCGCTGACAGGTGCAGAGTTCTGTGGAATCTCCTCCCATCTCTTTTCGATTTAACAGAACGAACGCTGGTGAGCATGTCGCCATTTCTTCACGTACACTCTGCAAATGGAAGAAGAAGTGGGAGGAGCTTCCCTCACACTTATCCTGCCACCGATTATAGACTGTTCGAGGGATGAAAGCCTGCCAGTCTGTTCGCTGGTCGTAATCGGCTACAAGGAAATGTTTTTCTCTCAATTACACTTACTAGTTTGAACCCACCCTTACCTCATCCATCCTACTCGCCGAGTTAGCACCGCCAGAGGTCCGCCTGTTCCCTGCAACTCGAGTTTTGTTTATTCACGGGTTGGCAGCATTGAACCACCGAAGGTAGAAGTGCGTAACACTCAAGGGGGACTACGTGAAGAAGTCCTAAGTTTTAATTTCGTCTCATTTGGCAGAAACAATACCTTCACAATGAGGCTTACTACAAAAACGTCAGTCGTTTGTACGTTCTATAAGAACAGTTTTTCTTCAATGTTTATTCAAGCTAGGCCGACACTAGTGTTGTAGCCCTTACCCAATAGAGGTAACGAAATACGTTAATCCGTACTTGAAAACAAAATGGAAGTGTTACCGACCTACGTTACCTCAAAATAAAAGAAACGCGTTACCGTGAGCTATATAAAGTAGAGCACGCCACAATTTCGTTACTTTTTATTTAGCAATTAACACGGGTAGTGCTTGGCTGTACAGGTATGCATAGGGGCCATATCTCATGAAACATATTCACGGAGGAAGTGAACATAATTACTTCACCTTGTTTTACGGTTTCACCTAAAGACTCACGAACAACAACGCAAAGAAAAGCGTAAATTATCTCAAAAATTGACATGACTTGGCGCCTAACAGCACGGAAGAATTTAAAGAGAAATGTTTCTAAGTCTTGCGAAGAAGTAACGAGTAATATAACTCCGTTATCCGTTACAAGTAACTGCACTACAAGTAACGCCATTACTTGCAAAGCCCTACCACCAACACTGGCCGACACAACCTGGTTCGAGATTAACTCCATTATTATAACTCATCGTGGCAACGGTTGATGCCATTAGCTTTGAATTGTTTCTTAGCAAAGACTCGTTTTTGCCGCTTGAAAGATATCGTAAGCTCTGGCGCTGACAAAATCGCATCAAGCGCTCCGCACAGAAACAAACTGCTTTCGTCCGGAGCGCAGAAGCAGTTCTCCCACCACGTAAGTGGTGATTCATGGACTCTTCCATATCCCGCAGCGGCAGCATTACTTTCGATGACCTGATGACTTTGGCGACGGCGGAAGACCATGCCACCATGAATTCCGTGTCTGCCAAAACGCAGTTCGACCAAGACGCTTTCATCCAGTTTTCCTCGGTGAGTGCTTAAATTCCCAGGACCGTTCTTATATTTCACAATACCAGCATCGCACATGAAACTATGTTCTTAAAGTAAACCAAAGTCATGGTGAGGAATGGAGCAGAACAGCATGTGGAGGCCGTACCCTAAAAATCGAAACAATCCTGCAGCGAGTAAGAAGCGGCCGGTGCTCACGGGGGCTTCCGAGATCTTGAGCAACATGCTTACAGGTTGCATAAATTCGCCCTCCCAGAAGATCCTAAGACACATCGCGATTATTCCCGATTGCACGACACGCCGCGGTGAATTGTGGAGCGGATCAGTGGCAGGCTTTGACGGACTCAGTCGCTTCGCATATACAGAAGCGGCGCGTCTAATCCATCCTGGCATTATAAACGAAGAAGACAAAAACATTCACTCCAAGCAAGATCGACATGTACTGTGTGTTGTCGTCCTGCTTCTTCATCATTATTATATAGGAAATGGTTAAGCAAATATAAACTTCTGTTTTTAGGCGTAGCTACGTTTCCATGCACCGCGTATCGAATGGCCGTAATGCGTCAAGCAGGCATAGAGGTGCCGCCTTTTGTCAAAATTGTCCATTGAAATCAGGCAGATGACATAATCGATTTGAAAGCTTCGCAAACGGAGGTTCGCCCATTGGGCTTTTCTTTTTTCTTATTGAATGAGCGGCTGAGCACTTAATGCTATCTTCACGTCGCATAAAATAACTCACGAAAATAGATTTCAAAACCTTCGTCGATTTTCGTGGCCTAGGCATAGCAGAATCGCTTTTTTTCAACCCATGCCTTAGGGTGGAAAATTTACAAGTTCTACGAGATAATATAGATTTAAATGACGTCAGTCTTACGTTCGGTTTTCCTTACTGCATACCTGAGATTGAGGAACAATATAAAGTCTCGAGTATCAACTAAACAAAAAAAATGCATTCAATTCGACCTAGACAAGGTGAGAGCAATGTGACCTTTTGGTTTGGCTGTCATCCAACGAGTACCCGTGCACCGCCTCTGCCATAGATTATCCAGACGGCACGAGGATGGTGCGCGTGACCTGGCTCTCTTGACCACTACGCGGTACAAATATGGCCTTCTGGTCCAAGCGTTGACCAACCTGGACGGCCAGGATCATGGGAGTCGCGCCGGCGCCCACAATTTATGGGTGTACATGAGGGCTGACCTGCCGGGTGTTCGAAACACACATCACACTTTTATTACTCGTGCCACAACAGCGAGGAAATTTTGGTCATTATGAATACACGGAGTTCCATCTGTTGCTCTCAAAAATCCGTAAACAGGCTGTGGCTGAGTACAAATATTAAAAAAAAAAAAACGCGGGTATAAAATTCCAGCAACGGTTGACGCCAATGATCGACAAATTTATAGTAATTTCTTAAATATTTCACTAAACATTACTAATTAACTGAAGTTGCGCCAATAAACAACTGGTTTCATTGATAAACTTGTTAAGAATCGTCGGAAACCAATAAATTAACTCATTTTGGAAAGATATTAGTCCGGAGCAGCATCTACGGCGTTCCGAAACGAAAACGCTATATTTGGAAAGGTTTCTAGGTTTGGGTTTCCTGTCGAAGCGCATCTTTGCGGTCCGATTCTCAAGTAGCCTCGACGCGCAACACACGTGCGCCATACTACCGGGGAGCAGTGCCGCTGGGGCAGGTATGCGCTCCGATAAAAGACCGAGACCTAGGGACTCATTTAAATTCAACGTTTTTATTTTTTATTTTTGTTTTTTGTTTTTGCAGTTTTCAGAAGGTTACAAAAGTTAATTTAGTGGCTTTCGAAGATGCTTAGCAAGTTCTCAATAAAACCATGTGTTTATTTTAACAACTTAAAAGATTAATGAGCAACTTTTTTTTTACTTATTTTATTTATTTTTTTTTATTTTATTTAAGAATACTGTCAGCCTTCACTTGAAGGCTATTACAGGAGAGGTAACAACAATATATATACAGTCATATCAAAAATTTGAACTCTATACATATGTACGTAATAGAAGAAGACTGTTATACAAATTTTAATTGAAGACAACGTGAACCATATTGCCACACTTTGTAAAAAGAAGAGAAATAGAAAAAAAGGAAAAACGCCCTTTTTATTTATTGCTGGGTAAATATCTTTTCTAAAGAAGACTCGAGTTGAGACATATTTGCAGAATTAATGACATAATCTGGGAGTTGGTTCCAGTCTTCAATTGTTTGCACAAAGAATGAATATTTAAATACGTCTATCCTACTATTATACAGTTGGATTGTTTTATTGTGATTTAATCTGCGCGATCGTTTATGTGTCTCTTTTAAATATAGTTCAGGTTCAATGTTCAAGTGATTGTTATACAACGCAAATAAGAACTTTAGCCGCGCTATTCTCCGTCTAGTTTCTAATGATTGAAGTCCACACTGGCTAAGCATTTCAGTCACAGAGCCTGTTAGTTTGTATTTATTAAGAATGAAACGGTGCAGCCTGCCCTTGAATTTTTTCTAGTCTATTGATGTCTACTTTTTTGTTTAGACTTCATACAATGCTTGCGTACTCTAAAATAGGACGGATCATTGTCTTATAAGCTGCGATTTTGACATTACTAGTTGCATGTTTTAACTTTCGTTTAAGGAAGCACAAACTTCGATAGGCAGAGGAGTAGACATTATTTATATGGGTGCGCCATTGCAAATCGTGTGAGATCACCACACTAAGGTACTTAAAACTGTTTACAACACTCAAATTAACATTGCCTATATTATAACAAAATTTCAAAACGCTTTTTTTGTTTGTTATATGGATATATGTCGACTTACGAAAATTTATTTGCATTTGCCAGTCCTCGCACCATTGCCTTAGATTTTCCAGGTTCCTATTCAGAGCTAATTGATCATTAGTATTGTTTATCACAAAGTAAAGAAGGCAATCATCTGCAAAAAGTTTTAGTTTTACTGGTTCTGCAATGTGCGTAGCTATATCATATATATATATTAAAAACAATAATGGTCCCAAGACTGAGCCCTGCGGGACTCCTGAGGTTACAGATAGAAGTGGAGATATGTTTCCATTTATCTACACTTTTTGACTCCGATTTGACAGGTATGCTTCTAACCAGTTAACGATTTTATCACACAACCCTATCGTTTTTAATTTTAATAATAATTTTTGTGAGGTATGCGGTCGAATGCTTTTAAAAAGTCTATACAAATTACATCGATCTGTTCCTTATTATTTACAGATAGAGAAAAATCATGAAACGTTTCTACAAGCTGCGTTACGGTTGACAAACTATTTCGAAAGCCATGCTGATGAGAGTATAACGTCTTTCGCTCCTCTAAAAAAGTGAATATATATTTTGAAATGACGAGCTCCATCACTTTACAGCAAACGCTGGTCAATGAAATAGGCCGGTAGTTTTCTGTCGTAGAGCGGCTTCCTCCTTTAAACACAGGGACGACACGTGCGGATAACCAATCTTGCGGGAGTGACTCCGCTTGTAATGATTTGTCGAAGATAATTTTGAAATAAAAAGATAGCCACTCTGCATATCGCTTTAAGAATTCATTCGGTATTTTATCCGGGCCTGTTAATTTTTTTTTTGTATCTAGTGACAATAGCTTAGCAAATATTCCGGACTGGCTTATCTCTATTTCTGGCGTACTCGTTTCAATATCAGAATGAAAGGCCTCATCGAGATTTTGTACCTCGTGGGCTGAAAAGACTGATTGGAAAAACACGTTAAACCGATCTGCCATTTCTGCACTGTCAGAAATGACCACATCCTTTTCAACAATCTGCTCGATCATTTCCATCTTTCCGCTTAAGAAACGCCAAAAATTTTCAGGGGCAGTTTTTAATCAAAATTTGGGGGTTTTACGTGCCAAACCTACGACGGGCATCTGGCACGCCCCAGCGGAGGACTGGGGATTAATTTCGACCACCTGGGGATCTTTTGACGTGCAACCGAAAGCTCGGTTACACGGCGCCTTCTCCGCAATACAGGGGCAGTTTTTAAAAAGTTGTGAAGAGTCACTGAAAAGAATCTCTCTTTGGCTTGTTTGAGTGATGTTTTTAATTTAATTTTTAGAGCATTTATATGTTCTTTAAAACCTTTTCTGTGTCTTTTGATTTGACGTTTTAGGTGGATAACTTCACGCGTTATCCAGGGATTTGTGCGATATGTCTTTTTAGTTTTATTGGAAACAAAGGAATTAATGCAAAAGGAAGTAGTAGTTTTGAAAAAAATTCCACAGATCATCTACTGTACTTGTAATGCTTAGTTGGTCTAATGTTTCTAAGGATGTCTCTAAGTAATCTATAATACTTGTATCGTCTGCGCGAGTAAAATCTTTAACAATTAGGGGCCTAGCGACCCTGCAATGACCATGTCGTGGTAGTGGAATCGTAAACAAAATCATTTTATGGTCTGAAATTCCTTCTACAATTAAAATCTCGTAATCAGATATGTTTTCTGTAATAAAGACAAGGTCTAATGTTGACTGAGACTGGTCAGTGATTCTAGTGTATTCCATGACTATTTGGGTAAGGTTGTGATTAAACGTTATGTCAGTTATTTTTTTTCCGTTGAGGATATTAATGCCACCAGCCGTCAAAAGAGCCCAATTTACATGGGGCAAATTAAAATCCCCAGTCATGATTACCTTGGTGGTATCATTTACATATTTGCACAAAAACTCATTCAAGCCCTCCAAAAAATCTACTGGTGCGTTTGGCGTTCTATAAACCACTCCAAAAAGGAACGTTCGACTCTAATAAGAAATTATTATTTAATTATTATTAATATTTAATAAGAAATTAGCTTATTAGAGCGCCTTTTCAATTTTTGACGTCCTTGTTGTCTGGAATTTCGTTCCTGGTTTTTTGTTTGTTTCTCAATCACCCTATTTTTAGGGACCTTTAGAAGCCTTCGCTAAAACACGCGTGGCGGTATACAGATGCAGATATACCGAGTGATATGTTTTATTGGAAACAATCTAAAAACAAAGAGTTCTTATCCGCGTTTTCCCGCCGCTAGCTTTGCGGCAGCTGCGCGAGTGGTAACTTTGGTGCACCCTGCGTCTCTCACGAGCTTCGAGTAGATTTAAATTGGCCTGCTTTAGTGGTTTTCGATGATGCTCAGCAAGTTTCTAATTGGAACCATATGTTTGGTTTCAAATATTAAAATTAACAAAAATAATTGTGGGTAACTACTCAACGGACTGTGGCGCTTATCTGATTCTATAATGTCCGCCGACCTCGAAAAACGCTTATCGAAGGCGGTATTCAGCTAGCAGTTCGTACTGTTATTTGAAAATTATATTTTCATTCAAAATATCACCCGGTATATTATATATTTTGGGCCATTAAGCTAGTTTGACCGTGCGGTGCTACTTCAAAGCCAACCACTAAAAATCGTATCCTTCGCTGCTATTAAGGTAAGGCGTGATAGAGTCTAAATATTTCCGTAAAACATCACCCTGTCTTCTTACGCTACAAATATTGCAAAATATCACACGTGCTTTTCTTTTTCTATTTTTTTTTATTTTTTGAACGCAGGGAACGACAGGGCAGCCCAAACCAGCGCGACTGTCTCATTTCAACGTTGTCAACAACGCCAACATTGTGGGCCGCTTTGTTGGATACCATAAACAGGTATCATATTTATTGTTTTTTTACGACTACAACTAGAGCTATTTTAGGCTAACTATTGTATAATATTTTCACATTAAATTTAAAGTACGTAGTCGACGAAGTAACCGATGTCATATGCATCATCTATTGCCGGGTGTTTCATCAACTACTGAAAATCGTTGAACCCCTTCCCCCCTTCCTCCGGTGTAAGATCTCGACGTGACGTAATATTCATTGATTTCGGGAACTCTGTCATCATAACCTGAGGATAGCTGCCATATAAAGGAACATATCGACAACCACTCTTGTATTCCCGCTGGGGATAGAAATAGTATTCGTTTTGTCGTTCACGCAGAAGGAACATTGTTTGCCATCAGTGCAAATGAAGGCATTCCTGATATTTTAGTGGCGACGTTGAAAACGCCTTTCGACAGATGGGTTTCAAGACTACCGTGCACATGGGTATTGATGACATAAACTCATGTGAACCTTACAATATCTTACGTCTGCTGCACCTGCACGTTTGACGCCATGTACCACCACGATGCCACCTGTCAAAAAAGTAATCGAGCTGCTGACTTCGGTTATTGTTTTCTTGTAACGTAATATAAACGTAACGTCCAGTAATACAGCGGATAACAGGGGTCTCCAACTCATTCGTGCGTGGGGGCCTGATACCTTACCCCCGAACGGGCGAGGGAAAACGGGGAGGGGAAGGGGGGAACAATATATATATATATATATATTAAATTTGATGCAAAAAAAAAGACATTTAAACAGATGTCTTTTACGTTGCGACGCAGCCGAATGTCGCAGTGACACCCCGGATGTTCGTTAGGAAGGAACCTTGTGCTTTCTGCTTTTCTGAGGTCACCATTTTGCCATATTTAGCTCTTATTCGCACATACGACAATTTTGGGACCCCGCCTGCTCTTATAAGAAGATTTAAAATACGAACCTACTGGCCTCTTTGAATAGACCGAGAACAAAGCACACCGTCTTTGAACTGTCGCATAATTCTCTATTTTCAACCCAGGTGTAGATAAAATAACTTATATGACAGTTTTTGCTTTCTGGGCGATGTTTATAGCAGCAGTATAAGAAAACAATTGCAATTTAAATGCATTTCCGACCGCTAAAACCCCGAGCTCATAGTTTCATTTGCGACAGTTGTTCCTGCTGAGCAAGAATTTGTCCAGCCCAGGTGCCTCATTGAGCAAAGAGCTCACATTTGTAGCCTAGCAGTTTCAGTGCCACTCCGTCTGATTTACACCAGGACTACCTCCGAAGCAAATATTTAGACGAAATAGGATTTCGGCAAAAAACAAAGAAGCATAGAAGTGCAAAACGTGCAGATACGCTTTATGAGCAGAGCTTCTTTTCCAGAGGAAATGAATTGGCGGTATAAAACTTTTATTTATTGCACATGCGGAGGTCGAGGGATAGGAAGGGAGGCTCGCGGCCATGGGGTGCTTCCGGGCCACATCCCAGAGAGTTGTGGACCGCTTGCGGCCCGCGGGCCCCGTGTTTGGGACCACTGGCGAAGAATGCACAGGGTGAGGCAAGAAGGACTAACACACATGTCACGCCTTGTTAAATTCGATTGCCAATGCGAACGTTTTTTCACCAGAAGTATTATGCTTTTTCTTAGAGCTCGAGACTAACGTCAAGAAATATTAAATATAGAGCAAGAACGGCGACTTATAGATTAAACCCTAGCATAGCGTGAGTGCTTAATTTGGGCTCGTGATAACCGATAGCTCGACAAGCATTCGGCTAGTCGCCCGTGTCCAATCGCGGCAATGACGACAATCGCCGAACCCTACTAATGCTTGGAACTCAACGCGTGTTCTGTGCTTTGCTAACCCCAGCGCGTGGCTATGATCAACATTGTCGGCATATAATTGGCTCTAGACCACGTGGTCGCTTGTTCGGGTTGCGAGTTGAGAGGGTAAACGCCGCTCCTTTCTCTTTAATTCTTACTGCGACGTTTACTGCGTGGGGAGAAAAATTGACGACCGTTTCTTTGTGTCATAAACGCCAGGGATACGTTCTAAGCGGTATTGGCGCAGAGCAGAAAAATTGTCGCACCACCCTTTCAGTATAGTTTTTTTTTCTTTGATTCACTAGTTGACTAGTTCGATGGGGTCTTTAAAGTCACTATAGCCCTTGCAAAGTGAAAACGGCAGGGCGTGGCTTTCAAACGCCTGGTACACGAAGGAGGGCATGCGCCCCATGCCTTCCGTCGTGCTTTCACCGCGCGCTCGAGGTGCGCGAGACGCCGAGGCGTTGTCAAGTGTAGAAGGCTCGCGCTGGAGGCGAGACAAATGAAACTGCTCCATACTGTTCTCACCTTGTCGGAGACTATTGAGAAAGTTGGCGACTTTTGAGACCTAGCCAAGATGTACCATGTTCAATAAAACGACAACAGAAAGTCTGTAGATTCCATTGACAATGGCTTCAGAGAGTCAACTGAACACCTTCAAGCACGAAGTAAACTGGACGTCTCCAGTTTTTCCGATGACACTGCCACCAAAAAGTCAGGAGAAAAAAAAATCTACATAAAGGTAATAGAAAGTCAACAGGTTTAAGGCTGAAGAAAAACATTAAGAAACGTTTTAATACAAAGTGAACAAACGTTATGTTGACCACGTGAAGAGGAATTCAAAGTCGAAAGTAACAAGAGTGAACAAGAAGTCAACGTGTTTTCAATAAATAGTCAAAAGTAATTATTATGGGCATATATATATATATATATATATAAGTGTGTGTGTATGTATGCCCCCAATATATTATTATTTATTAGCCTTAACCTTTGCCAATGTTGTTACATGTTCCGCCTCATCTTAGCTCCCGCTCTTCTGTAGAGTGTTACGCCATGGACGCGCCAGGTTCTGGTATCGAGTCAAATAGAAGAAAAACAAGCAATAAATCGTCAAAGGGGCCTGTCAATCCATCAAAATGTTGAGCTTTCAAGCTTCAAACCTGCACGACGGTACTGAAAAATTTTATGTATATATATATATAGAAACTTTGTCCTCCGCTGATCTATAAAACAGTGCAGAATTTCGGTCTCCGCAATCCGCAAAGATTCACCCCAGATTCCTTGGAGGTTAGGATTTCGATAGCAAAAAAAAAACAACAGTCGACGGAGTGTGAGAACTGAAGGAGCCTTAAGGCCTGGAAACTGATTTTATTATATTTAACACCAGGAGAGCCGCGTTGCCACAAGTAGTGTAAGCTGGGGTAAAATGAGGCGCCGGGCAAAATGCTATCGCATTTTGCCCCGCGTCTTATTTTAGCGCCATCCGTCTCCTAGACAGCAATTGGGGCACGTTTAAACTTCACCGGGCGGTGCCGTGACAACTACAGTTTGCGTGTGTAAAAAATCAAAGTTGTCGCTAAGATTGTTCCCGATATACAAAATGCGGAGTTGAGGTTGCTGTGTTTGTCCCCTCCAAAAAAGAACAAAATTCAGCGCGAAGTTTTTTCTCGATACGAGCATTCAGGTTGGCACCGACTATTCTGCCAAGGTAAGCTTTAATTTCATTGGTATACTTTAATAACTCCTGCGGATCACAGTTGAGAGATCTGTTTTGTTTTTTTTTCTTTTTAATATATTTATTTACATAACGGGATATGGGGGGGGGGGGGGGCGCTGGGCAAATCGCGCGTATTTTGATTGAGTCATGTTATTTTTCCACCCATGTCTAGGATAGTCCGAACGTATAAAAGGAAAACAACTAGGCCTGCCTAGAGCCAAAGGGAAACGAACAAATCTCTTGAATGCTTGAAGCAGCAGCCTCACCACTTCGCACTGCTGGCACAATGTTTGGCGTACCAAAGTGTGCGCTTCAAAGGCGTGCCAAACAATCTTGAAAAATGCAAAAAACAGCGGCTCTACAAAAAAAAAAAAAGAAAAAAGAAGCCTATAAGATTTGAGAGTATTTTTTCTGTAACTAGCGTAGAATAGAAAAAAACTGAACAAGTTCGTCGGAGAGCAGCACTGTTCTAACGTCCTCCTCTTCCACAAGGCAGAGCTGATGTTGGCGAAAGCAACCAAGAACCGGCGCTCCACGCGTCGCAATCCCCCCCTCCCCCCCCCCCCCCACACACACACACTCACAACAAAAAAAAAGAAGAGAAAAGTTAAAAACAAACGTGAAATTGATCCCCCGAAGAAGCACTCAGTGTCCGCGCTTTCTGCAACCGTGCGATGCACACCTCAAGAAACTGGCAGTGCCTGCTACCCAATGAACTGTGAAGAAAAGCACCCACTCATTCATCATGTTTCCAATGCATGAAATGCAAGGAGTAGGCTTAGAAAGAGTGTATAGCAGGTGACACAATGTGTTTCAAGTGTTTTATTGAAAACACTAAAGCACATCTGGTTTTCTATGTGTGGCTCTTTGTGCCCCTGTACATCGTCGCATTTTGCCCCACATGTAGGCGGGCCAAAATGAGACATTGTGTTACATATAGTGTAGTTTTGTTTAATGTTTCGTTTGCTCCTGTTAAGTAATCTTCATTGAGCAGAGGGGCAAGACATCTAAGAATATCCCGATGCTGTGTTTGTTTTAAATAATAAAACAATATTAAAAAAAAGTAAAATATTTTGTCTCATTTTGCCCACATTACCTTAAGCAGTTACTTCCTATTTCGTTAGATGTATGCTTTGTCACGCCGGTTAGGAATAGATAACTCGGGAGGCTAGACAATAGAGAGCTAAGCGTTACCGTTTGTCTCTAATTCACACAAAAAACAAGTAAACTATAATGGTTCTCATATTGGCGCACTGGCTGAGCACACGTATGCTTAGTTCCCGCTTTCCGAACGACGTCGGGGTGCTGATGTTCTGGGGTGGTACTATCAAGGAATAAAGAGACAAACTAATGTAACAGAACGCTCATGTTCTGGTACTTTTCATCCACTGTTACTAGCTGCAAACACTGCGCAATCTAGAATCGGAGGAACTTGACCTTACTTAAAACTAAGAACAGCAGGAATGGCAAAACGATTTCAAGACATGGGACATTCTTAACACCCAACACAAACTCCCATGATCGGAAACGTTGCGCTTGTGCTGTCCTCTCCTGCCTTGTTTGTTTTGTATTTTGTGTAAATATGTTTATATTATTCAAGCAACTAGGCCGCCAACTTGATTTGTTTCGTTGTTAATGTGCTGAAAATAAATCCTGACATTAAAAAGTTCCTCAAGCGCTTCTACGGAGCTCGTCGTGCTCAGTTAAAAGATTTCCGGCCTGGGGAGCTCCGGATTTAAGTGATAAAAAAAAAATGCCGAGAGTGACGCTTCTCGAATTGAATACACGCAAGGACCCTTTTTCCAATTACAGATAACTAATTTGTTTAAAAATCGGTAAAAAATCGTCACGTCAAGGAAACAAACCTCCTAACGGCGCGTTACAAGAATAGCATAACTAAAGAGTAAATGTTCACAAGCATGCGCAAGTATTTAGTTTCGGAATGTAACCTTTCCTGGAGCTTCATGGTTATGACAAGAACAGGTTTCTTTGCTTTACTTTGCAATTTCAAAAGGTCAAACATACTAGCGCCAGTGTCATACACCTTCTTGCGTTCCTAAGCTTATTCACGATCACTACACTCCTTATGGTTTTAGTAAGCACAACCGCTTTGAAGCCACTTTTTATGTCCGCGAGGCTCAGGAAAATGAAACAGAATAAAGTTTATTCACGTGAAATAGTCGATACGAATTTTGCTGGTTTACGAAAGTACATCCTCTTTGTGCGAAGGGCCTAACAACCAGCAGAGAAGCGTATAGTGCAAAAGAAAAGAAAAATATTAACAGTCCCCAGCAGGTCGTCACTCAAAGGAAAAAAAAAAAACATTACTAAGCTACCAAAAAAAAAACGGTTTTGTGTTTATAGACCGTCATCAGCGCACTGCACCATGTAACGACCAGGTTTAGATTATAAAAAGAAACATAATCGGTGCAAAGAAATTTAAAAAAGAAAACGAACTATAAAATAATTAGTCAAACTGTGCAAAATTAAAGTAGTATTTTTTTAATTGCCTCGTAAAAAGAAGGAATGTTCTTGTTTGCAGCGTGAAATCTTCTGCCTGAACGGACAGCTGATCTACGGATTCGGCAGAACGCTGGGCGTCTTGACTGCCACGATGTTCGGCTCCACGGTAGTGTTGCCGGGGCCTTTCTTCGAGCCGAAATCGACTATGGAAGCCATCACAAAGCACAGGTGACAAGAAGCGTTCATGAATTCTCTACTCTTCCCCCGCGTACGTTGTTTAGCATTACAAAGGGATGCCCATATTTCGGCATTGTACTTTACGCCAACGGCGCATACTAATTCGTATTCCGTTATGGAGGAATTCGCAGATCAAAACTGGGACAGGTTTATTGCATCCTAGCGTTAGACAGTATCTTCATCAATATTAGTGTAGTTGTTTGAAGTCAGTTAATGTATTGTGCCAGCTGGAAATAAAACGTGAATCAGCTTGTGGTCGAATGCTTTCTTATTCCCTGTAGAAAAAACATATTTGTATCCCCTCGTGAGCTGACTTAGGTATTTTCGATATCATAGGAGATATATAAATAACCCCAGAAAATAAACGGCCTCAAACGCTGCAAGTCAAGGCATAAAAATATTAGTTTCGTATTGTGTTCTTTGTATGCAGTTGTACCAGAACATTTTTTAGACATTTGCACTCTTCTCCCCAACATGCAGCCAGACGGACAGAATCGATCTGAAACACGGCTGTCTAGGAGGCACACTTTTTTTTTTGTTGTTTTTAAAATAAAAAAAGAAGAAAGCATCACGTTTTTTTTTGTTTTTTTTTTTTTTTTAGGAGAAGATCTACAAAAAATCAACTAAGAAAATGCTTCGATTACCAGTTGTGTAATAACTGAGACTACTTTTTTTATACCCGTGGGAAACTTTCCGTGGCATTTTCGACGAGATGAAGTGTGCGCGTGCACAACTTTATTTGGCGTTCACGCACGCACTCCCGTACCTTTGCCTGTATAGCCAAAGAAAGTGTTCAGGAGTACAATCACAAGCTGCCTGTAATCGTAGCCCACCTTTTTTTGGCATTACAGCCACGTGGTGGATGCGAAACAAGGCAAGTTTTCTCCCAGTCAAAAATGTGCTTCATAGGTGTACGGAAACAAAACTTGAAATATTCAAATTTCTTTTTGAAATGAGACAGGTATGACGGAAAATAACCGTAAGTGATAAACGCACGTTTGTGTTTTGAACGACTGGCTATATTTTTCGTTCCAACCGGTGCACTTGAGCAAGCGCTCGGAGAGAAGCGAACCTAGAGCGCGATGCGTCATGGGATATCCAGCGCAAACAAAAACAGGAAGAAAAGATTCCCCGCATTCGTCACGTAGCAAGGCTGGCGTGGTTGTGAGCTTTGCCCTTGGTGGCGTTGTCAGCGTTGTGGTGTTGTCAATGACGTCAGCGCGTTACAACCGAGCCGTTCGAAGCATAGAGTTATTACAATAAACGCTAGAGGCTCAGCTGGTTCTAGTGTGCTGTTGCATTTTGAAGCAGACAGCAAGCAGTCGGAAAAAGCGAGTGCATTTTCTCTCTGCGCTCGATTATAAGAGCAAATATCACGAACAATTTGTACGTACTAGGCACATTGGAACATTTCTCAGTCATAAAGACGAAATAATCAGTCAGTTAGAGTATTTTTATTTGAAATTCGTGGCATGAAAAACGGCGTTAAAACCGCTCCGTAAGTGTATTTATGTGCACTGTCGGACACTGTTAGCGCGAACACGGCGTTGACGCTTTTCAGCATGGGGGATGTACGTGCCAAACGAACGAAATACATGTGGAAAACCAAGAGAGATGGTAAGAACTACGCAGTAACACTGGATAAGTTACTTCTTGTGGGCGCAGAAGATCAATATAAATTGAAAGCCAGGTAATATAGTCAGATTTGCAATAAATAAGTACTGCTTTATTTTTTCTGCTCATGAATATATGCGAAGGTGCTTGTTCTGGTTTCAAATCCTCACCCGCACGCTCCAAATCTTTGCAAATAGGGGGAGCCAGAGAGCAGGTGCCAGATAAAAACTGCCCCTCATAGGAAATAATCAAAAGACACACCTTTCGTAGCTAACGTGCTTTATTTTTTGTGTTCGAATGTTTCTTTAACCGATCGTAAAGATGCACGACGGGGTCATTTTCATCCAGTGACAGGACGCCGAAATGCTAGCAAACCTTGAGCACACTCTACATTCCCTTTGATCGTTAGTTTGCTTAGTATCGTCGCTCGTTTTCACATACCTTCCTCGGAAGAGAGGTTTGGGCCTGAAATAGAGCGAAGTTTAACATCGTTCAGTGGTAAAGAAAAATGCTGTAACTAAAGCAATTACACTTTCACAATACCAATAAAGGTACATTCTAGCCGGTACAACCGAAATGACAAAATTTATTGTTGTGGCGGTCCTGCGAATGAGAAGACGACGAAAAGGAGGACAGGAAGAAGGCGCGAGAAAAAGGACGGATGGTGATGAACGTTGAGCGCCGAACGCTGGGATTTTAAACCGTTTTGATTTTTCAAGTTGCCTTTGTGGCTGGAATATCTGAGAAATGCATCCTTGGACTCGATTTTCTACAGGCGAATTGTTGTTCACTGGATCTCAAGAGTCACACATTGGACGTAAGTGAAGAACACGTCATCTTGTACAGCCAACGAGCAATTTTAGAAAACGGCGGGGGATTCCTTCTATGCTCCAAGTCCACTTTGATTTCTCCACAATGCGAAAACGTTATCTGGGTGACGGACGGCAATAACTGCTCGGATGGTATTGTGGTCGCTGGAAGAGACGCCAGGTGCGATACTATTCCAGGAATCATTATAGCAAGAACGCTAATAGACTTCGGCAACGAAAAGGCTCCTATCCGCATTGCCAACCTAACGGATAAACCTATCCACCTAAAGAAGGGGTGTGGCATTGCGAAGTGGTCTCGTGCTGTGAGCTTTACTCCCCCACGAAAGGATCTTGTCCATATGACACAAGAGGAATTGCCGGCTTCCTTGCTGGATCTAGCAGGCCGCTCCAAATGCCACCTTGATCAAGCACAACAAGCACATCTCCTGAGTTTACTCAACGAATAGAGAGATGTGTTTGCTTCTTCTTTGGAGACCGGACGGACAGGTGTTGCTCAACACCGCATCGATACAGGAAATGCAGCTCCGATTAAGCAACAGCCCTGGCGAATTTCGTTGGCAAAACGTAACGAAGTCGGCCAGATGATCCAAGATATGCAACAACGAGATGTTATTAAGCCTTCATCCAGCCCGTGGGTGTCGCCGGTCGTTTTGGTAAAGAAAAAAGATGGCAGCACGAGGTTCTGCGTTGACTACCGACGATTGAACGATGTCACCAAGAATGACTCCTATCCACTCCCTAGGATTGATGACACATTCGACGCGATTGCGGGGTCTTCCTGGTTTTCCACATTAGACCTCAGGAGTGGATACTGGCAAGTTGAAATGAACCCAAGAGACCGCGAGAAGACGACATTCTCAACTGGAGATAGTCTCCGACAATTCAAAGTAATGCCGTTTGGCCTTTGTAATGCCCCTGCAACGTTTGAGCATCTCATGGACCAGGTCCTAAAGGGCCTGCCGCTGGACGTTTGCTTGGTTTATCTGGACGATATACTTGTGCACGGCAAAACTTTTCAGGGAGCACTTTGTAATTTGTCACTCGTATTTGACCGTCTGAGGGCAAACTTGAACCTAAATGCCAAGAAGTGCGTTCTATTTCAAAAGAGAGTGCATTATCGCGGTCACATCGTCTCTGAACAAGGAATGGAGACGGACCCTGAGAAGACAGAGTGCGTCAGAAACTGGCCTCAACCTCAAAATCAGCGCTACGTTAAAAGCCTCCTTGGACTGTGCACCTACTACCGGCGATTTGTAAAAGGTTTCGCCACAATTGCCAAACCGCTGTACGCTTTATCAGAACAGAATACGGCGTTTGAATGAAGTGTACAAGCACAAGATTCTTTCCTCACACTCAAGAATTCCCTTAGCGCCCCTCCAGATCTTGGATTTGCTCGACCAGTCTGCAAGTTCGCCATCGATACCGACGCGAGTAACGTCGGTTTGGGTGCTGTGTTGTCCCGGATTCATGATGGCTCTGAAAAAGTAAATGCGTACTATAACAAAGTTCTAAACAGGGCAGAACAGAACTACTGCGTTACGAGAAGGGAGCTCTTGGCAGTTGTAAAAGCCGTGACCCATTTCCATCATTACTTGTAAGGCACAAAGTTCCTCTTAAGGACTGATCATGCATCCCTCACTCAATTGCTTTTAAACTTGAAGAACCCGGAAGGCTAAGTAGCTAGGTGGTTAGAGCGGCTGGCACAATACGAGTTCAGGATTGAGCATAGACCGGGCAAGGGACCTGCAAACGCCGACGCACTTTCGCGGCGACCTTGCTTGTCTGGCAACTGTCGCCCATGCCTGAAAAGCGAGCAGCGCTTTCCATTGGACTGCCAACCGTTGTCGTCCTCCCAAACGACTACGTGCCCTGCGATGGTAGAACAGCAGCAAGATGACCAAGACCCGACAATCTGGACTGCATAGTTTCTCCGTGTGCTTCAAGAAAACGACAGCAATTTGCAACCTATTTTGCAGTGGAAGCGGGTGGGAGAAGTACCCAGCTGGAACGTGGTTGCACCATACAACAGCGTCGTGAAAGCATACTGGGCACAATGGGATTCCCCCATTCTACAGGATGGATTGTTGCTGGGAGAGCAAAGACGGAAGAAACAGCACGCTTCAGCTCATTTTACCTCAAGTCCGTGTCGACAGCGTCTTGCGTGAACTTCATGACAGTCCTGCTGGCGGACATCTTGGGATATACAAGACCCTACAACGAGTTCGAGAAAGATTCTATTGGGTTGGATCAACTCGAGATGTGCGCGAATGGTGTAAAAAGTGCGACCACTGTGCGTCGCGTAAAGGACCACCATCACGAAGCCGAGGGAGGATGGTAACCTACAACGTCGGTGTCCCGTTTGAAAGAGTGGCCATTGATGTTGTAGGTCCACTACCGAAAACGACACAAGGAAATCGGTACGTCATAGTGATTGCTGACTACTTTACCAAATGGCCAGAAGCATTTCCAGTACAAACGTACGACGCAGGCACTGTAACCAGGATCATGACGGAAGACACCGTTACAAGATACGGGGTACCACAGGAAATTCATTCTGATCAGGGTCGGACTTTTGAGTCGCAAGTGTTCAACAGCATGTGTGAGACACTCGGAGTTAGGAGGACGAGAACCAGGCCCTTGCATCCTCAGTCGAATGGCATGTTAGAAAGGCTCAACCGCTCACTCAAGCAATACCTTTCGCTCTTCGTTGACGAGCACCAGGACAACCTGGGACACTCTACACTGTAAAAAAAACGAAGTTACCACCATACACCCTTTTGTCCCATATAATACACCCCAAAACTTCATTTCGACGTACAGCGCCCTAAAATCGAACAGGCGGCCCCAAATTTTACGAGGGGCTTGATAACTGTGCGGTATAACTTATTAAATTGCTAAAGTACGTATCAAAGACCAAAGAAAGAAAACACGGAGCGTTTTCAGTAGGGTCAAGAAAACTCCGATAATCTTTTTTGTCTTCAATAATACGTACATTACCTATCTTAATAAGTTGTACCACACGGCTATCAAGCCCCTCGTAAAATTTGGGGCCGCCTGTTCGATTATAGCGCGCTGTACGTCGAATTGAAGTTTTGGGGTGTATTATATGGGACAAAGGGTGTAATAAGACACTCTTTTTTCGGAGAGTGTAATTCCATCCTTCCTAATGTCCTACCGGTCAGCCGTTCATACTGCGACAAGCTTCACGCCAGCGATGTTGTTAATGGGCCGGGAGCTAATTAAGGCTGCCTGCGAACATCACTTTTGGCACGCCAGTGCTTCCATCGCGTGAGACAACACGCAGAGTTCTTTACTCTGACTACTCCCGCTACCTGCGAACGAAACTGATCTGTGTGCACGATTTTGCACGAAAACATTTGCACCTGAGCAGTGGAAGTGCAAGAACCCGCTGCAACCGAAGCTGCTCGGGTCGCATACTCCAGCCTGGAGACAAAGTGTAGTTGCATCAGCCACGCCGCACCAAAGGTAGCTGCCCGAAACTTCAGCGCAATTCGGAAAGCCCCTACGAAGTTGTCAAGCGACTAAACAACGTCGTGTACCGGGATCGGCACCTGATAAGCCGGAAAGTTCACGTAGTTCATTTTGATCGGCTGGTTCCCTACCAACCTGACTGAATATTTTTTTTCACTACCTCAGGACGAGGTTCATGTGTCGTCGGGGGGCAGTGTTGTGGCGGTGCTGCGAATGAGAAGACGACGAAAAGGAGGACAGGAAGAAGTCGCGAGAAAAAGGACGGATAGTGATGAACGCTGAACGCCGAACGCTGGGATTTTAAACCGTCTTGATTTTCCTAACATTATTTATGTTATTTTCCGGCGAAGACACAAAATTCACGCGTGTTTTCCTATAGGAATACACAGGGAGGCTGGAAATGTATACTGCATGCTGTCTGCTCCAATTTGCAACCGGAAGTCCCGTAGACACGAGCGCCAGCTGAACCTCTAGCGTTTATTGAAATAACTTTATGGTTCGAAGTACCCGTGGGGTGACGAGCCTGTGCTGGCCTAAGGAGTACGTAGCTTCCACAACACTGTCAGCTTAGGGCTGAACGGGGTGGGAAAAGCAACTTTTGTCCGAGTTTTGAGCGACGGGCTAATCTTCTAGAGGGAGAATGGCTGTGTCCCATTTGCACGAATGAGGGTCCGAGAAAGAGGGGAGTCCTTCCTTTCCGTCTTCTTGGACTGGTTGGTACAATGCGCGATATGTGAGTTGAGGAGGGAAGCTAAGAAGGAAAGTGTTGAAATTCCAAAGAGCGGCGCTGCTCCGATGTAACTTGCTACGTCATGACTACGTTGCGAGTTCCCCAAAGTTGCTAGATTACCTCCCAAATAGGCTCCGCATGCATCCACCAGGTGCACATTGAATGATGATTTGATTATCTTTAAAATTAATTTGCTTGTGTCTTTCAACAAAAGACTGGTATGTTTGAGGTTATGCTGCAACATGCAACAAATTAGAGATAACAAATGAGCGCTGGCATTTGGTTTTTGTACCCCTTTAAATATAGGCTGCTTTCAGAGGGAGGAACGTCCAGCTCCCCATTTTCTGCTTATCAGAGGCAAAATAAAAACAAAAGGCTCTAAGTTGAAGTTGTGTACTGGTTTTCGAGAGCCGTCGGATTTTCTTATAGAGCGCAGCTCTTAGGTGGCCGTTTCCGGTTTGAGCGGCGTCGGCGTCGCCGTCACCGTCGGCGTAACCGCGAGGTCACGTGACCCCCAAGGTCACCCCAAGGTCACGTGACCCACCAAGGTCACCCCAAGGTCAAGTGACCCTCCAAGGTCACGTGACCCCCCGAGGTCACGTGACACCCCAGAGGTCACGTGACACCCTCCCCGAGGTCACGTGACCCCCCCCCCCCCCCCCGAGGTCACGCGATCCCCTCCCCCCGAGGTCAGGTGACCCCCCCGGAGCATATTCAAGAATGAGGGGAGGAGGAGGAGAAGGAGGAGGAGGAGGGGTCTACCCTCAGTACCTTTCCTCCTCCTCCTCAAGAGCTGCGCTCCAATTCGGCGTTACAGGGAGTTGTAAACGGCTTTCACTTTTTTCTTCTAACTTTACCAATTAACTCAGCTTTCTACATCACCATAACCCTGAGGCGAGAAAAACAAAACGAACAACACACGCATCAAATTATCGTATATACGATAATATAACATTAATATATAGTACCGCACATATATTTTAATATTCACGACCGTATTTGTTTACTAGGATAGGGCCAGCCTGACCTTGGGAGACCATCCTTGTAATGCACCAACTGGTCAACTCAAGCCCCTAACTCGTATTTGTATATCTGCTGAGTAAGGTTATCAGCTTGACAGCGTCTTATGCCTTTCAGCCTTCCACCTTGATGCTCTTGAACTTTTCTCGCATTTTTGCCCACGAACGTCGTCCTCCCCTGTTTCGAAATTCGCTTCGGCTTCTGCGGGGAGACGTGCTCTCTGGCCATATGAACTAGACCTGTTGGCCGAGCCGTCAATACTCGTCAAGAGGTGGACCTTATCGTTCGTTGGCAGTTCTGGTGCACAAGAGTCCTTCACAAGTTGCGAAGCGCACCGTGTGGTGCGTCCCGGGCACCTCATCTTCGCTCATTGGCCAATGAGATGGCACAATTAGCCGATAAGAACGGCGAGGGACCAGACACGAACCAAGAAGCGGAAACACAAGCAACAGTGCCCTGCTTTTCTCAACCAGACAAAGACTCTAGTGCGAAAACCTAACTGTATTTTACGAGAGCGTACTAAAACTCGCCAGTGAATGGAACGTTCAGAGGACCACAAATGTAGTTTCAGAGATCGTTTTGTTATGGTACAAACTCATTCTGATGCACCCTGAGCATCATATAAATCCCAAAGTTACAGTCATACATCACATTTTTCACCATTAGAAAACGTGACTAGAGAGCGCAAAACGCCCTTCTTTTTTTTGCTGAGATGTCTAAAAACAAAATGGGCGTATCGCGGTGTTTGGCCGCGTTTCTTACGCGCGAAAAAAAAAAACAAGCATGATTGCAAAATAGGGTTTATAGGATGCTCATAAAAACTGCGCCTAAAAAAAAAAAAGATTTAAAATTTTATTTTGGTGCGACTTTAAGCCTGATACTTCGTGAATTGTTAGCTTCTCTTCAAAAATAAACTTGATGTTCCAGATGTACTGTCGCCTTTGCTGCGCCAACTATCATCCTCGATATGGTGAATGAGCTTCAAAAAGGAGACTACGACGTTTCTTCGCTCAGAAAAGGTATGAATGCTCGATCCGACAAAATACTAGCGCCCCTTTTCCAAATTGCCTATATTCCGACTTGCCTAAAACTGAAAGCAGCCAAGACCGTATTATCGAAACACTTTTTATAGCTCCTTGGCTGGACTAATACCAGCTTGAATAAACAAAACCCCTTTTTCAGAAATTTGACGTGATCACAGGGAGTACAAGCGAGAACACATATTGTACACAAGTGATTCGTCTCTGTCTGGCTGCTCTTCGTGCCCAATAAACACCCCTAAGTAGCTCAACATGGTCCTCGGGTCTAATTGCTGAATTGACGCCATCGAACTGTCATGACAACAAAGGGGCAGAGGGTGTTTTCGGGCATTCATTGATCTGGTTTTTGTTGACCGCAGCTCATAATGCGGTAGAATAAGTGAAGGTAAAATACTCTACACAGAGGACACGGCTCGTGCCGCGCACAGCAAAAAGAGGAAAAAGGATTCGCGATCCTCAATATTATAATTGATTCGGCGCGCGTGTACTATTTCAGCGAGGACATCACCCACGCTGCCGTGAGCGAAACAAAACGGCTTTTATGCAAAGGACGAAAGTATGCACGCGAGCTGGTTAGAAAACATTAGATATCTAATCCTGTGACAAGGAGAAATAAATTAACAGTCAAGACGACGCAAACTCTGAAATGCAGCTGAATTAATTCGGGAGGGAACAACACATGATAGCCATCAACGCAGACAGGAACGAGGAAAGGCAAAAAGACATGACGCCGTAAAGAGGCGGAAATGACGCCAGGCTGACTGACATCCACGCAGAAACCACACCACTAGCAGACACCTGCCGCCGAGCTATCCGACGATAAAATCCCCGCCATGGTTATATTACCCGCTTAACCCCCCCTCCCCCCCTGCCCTCACCACCACCCCCTCGACCTTAGCAACCAAAACTCACAACAGAACCAACTTTCTTGCGCGTTCGTTTAAAACTACAGACGACTGCCTCACGCAATTTCCGTGGTCCTCTTTACTCAAAGTTTCCTTTCAAAACAATTTGAAGGAATCGCTGTCTTTGCAGAAGATTGAAGCATATATTTCCATAATGGTAAGCACGCATTAGGTGTAGCAATATCATTGGCCAGATTAGATGAGGTAGAAACACTTTCGCGCTTCTTTTTTTGTTCTCTCCAAAGGCGGTCACTTACACACCGACCCGTCTGCTCCACATACCAGAGCCCACAATTAAACTGAATGTAACATACACTTTCTCGACGCAACCAATTGGAGGATCCCTGCGTTCTTTTCTCACAGATTTGTTCGCGCTAAAAACTCGAAAGGTGTAAGGCTACATAAGCGCAAATCAGTCTTAGAAACGACATTTAAATCGTACTTCAGAGTCCAAGCTTTAAGGATATGGGAAAGCATGTGAAAGTCCCGACTTACAACAGGTACAAAATTACAACAACGAAGAGACGATGCAAGACGTTGCTGTGAAGGCAAGCGAGCTCCTCGAGGCGAAGCGGGCACAGGAGACGGTGAACGTTGAAGATACTTGTTGTCACATTCTCGTGGGCACCCACCGTATCATGGGCGCAGGTCGTTCGGGCGCAACCCGCGCAGGCCAAGGTGCCGGTAAGGGCGTCCGCGATAAGTGTGGTCAGCTTAGCTGCCGTACTAGCATAGCGGGCGTCGGTGAGCCGTCCTTCAGATGACCCTCTTCCCCAGCGCCGACTGATCTTGTCGGACCTACTGGAGTTGTTCCTCCTGGCGTCGAGCGGGGTACAGGCGTGTCGCGTCGAGAAGGCGCCGGGTACTGATGGGCAACCAGTGTCGGTCGTCGGGTCATGGCGGAGCATGTCAACGCCGGCCCCTCCGGGGCGGCCACATCGACGAGAGCTTCCGGCTGCAAGGCCCGCTGTCCCTTGTCGTCTAGGATCTTGACGACTGGAAGCAAGGACTGGCGCTCAGCAGCGGGGAGGAGCTTTCGGAGCTCCCTTCGGACGAGGACCTGAAAGATCTCGCGAACATCTGTTCTGTTGGGTAGTGCGAGGCTCAAACCTGGAGGGAGCGTTCGATGTCCGTGGCCTCCATCACGAATTGTTCGACGGTCGCTGGTAAGCAGCGCGCACAAGACTTACAAAGATGTTTTCTTTTACCTCCCGCATAAGAATCCTCGGTTTCTTCGCTTCTGTAGCTTCAGGACTCTCTCGATTGCTCAGTCGAAGCACGACTTCGACGATGCTGACGATGCTCTCGTTGGGAACTTGAACTCTTGCATGGAACAGCTCCTCAGCTCGTTCTCTTCGCTGTTGGGTCGCAAAACTCGGCACCTCCGCAAGGCACACCCTTACATGATGAATGATAGTCGCCTCGTGGTTTTCAACCTAATTACGTTCCATTGCCTCGAGAGAAGTGGACATTCTGCAGCCATATTGCCGGCGTCCACCTATTCTGACGGGCAACTTGCTTGTACTGCTGCGTCTAGTTGTCGATGTCCTTGAAGACGTCACCGTGGGAGGGCGTCGGAGTACCACGTGCGACGGGCAGGACGACGACGGGTGGGCTGTTCGGAATATGCGGCAGTGCGGTGCTCATCACCTTCTTTGTCTTCTCCGGCAACTGTAAATATTTCGGGGATTGATCTTGGGAGCGACGGCCGGCTCGGGCTTAGGTGTCTTCTGCAAACGGTAGTCTTCCGGGGCTGAGCACCTCACTTGGCTGGCGTGTCTTCAGAGCTTCGCGGGTGTAGAATTCGTTGCCTCGCACCTCCACAAAATGTTAGAGATTGAAAAGGTTGCTCAAGCGTAACCTGAAAAAACAGGTTTCATCGATGAAATTGTGCCAGGAAAAACGAGAAAGATTGAGCGTCGAAGCACAAGCAGCGAACGTCACGGCGTCGGCGCGACAGCTCGGTAGAGCGAGAGCCAGAGAGATTCGGCAAGGCCCCGCTCGGCTCCTTATCTACTGCACTCGGGATCTCGAACATTCGACCTAGAATGTTCGGGGGTGAACAAGGGTGAGACTGACTACGCAAGATCATTATGGCCTCCTTACGCTTTATACTCGGAGTAAGAGTAAACTTGAATCTTCTAGAAGTACGAGGACGCGTTACTTCATGTGATGCACGCGGCAATATTTTGATTTTCGTATCTTCCTTACTTGGCGCCATTTATGTGCAGTACCACAAACCTTCCTAAAGTGGGGACATTAACAGGTCGCCTAATCGGCCCTCGTTTCGTCACCTGCTTATCTTACACCCTTCTAATATCAAAGAACTGAACGTTTCGTGGCATACAATAGCAAATTTATCGACGTTACAAATCATTTGCAGTTCTCATCCATCATAGTTACAAATTTGCATCTCCTGAAAACGTTCAATGTTACAAAAACAAATACTCATTTATTACAATCAATTAATTCTCCTATGTGATTCTTCATCTTTTTGTGCCGTCGGTTTTGCGCCATTTTAGTTATGAATGCCGATTATAATCACAACAACTCTTGTTTGAAAAGTATTCAAAAGTGTAACTTGATTATCTGGGAGAAGAAATACTTGATCGTTCTTTTAATAAGTAACCGAAATAATACTATATTAAACATTTATGGTTTCCGGTTAGTTCCGAAGAAATCAGAAAATGTTCCGATTTCTTTAGGAGTTTCAAGTCGTTCCCACTTCTAACGCCAAGAACAAACAGAACTTATATAATTGAGAACGCAAGCTTTATACAAAACTTGTCAGACTGTAAACGGGCCTTTCGTGCTGTATACTGGTGGCTTACAATCACCATAATGCATACAACTCAAATTTCTGATTCTTCTGGAATGCCTACTGCTTGATTTCAAGGCTACAAAAGGGTCACTTTTTTATCACACCTTTGCTTTTACAAAATTTGTTTTTACTTGTTTTTCGGGCATTAAAGGGTAGGAATGTCTTGAGCCAGATTTATATTTTTTCAAGAAAGGGGTAGTAGCTTGTTTCAATTGCCGATGAAGATATGCGTGATATATAATAACCACCAAATATCGCACTAAAATTCTTTTATAAAAATTTCGGATTTGATATCGCAGCTCAAAACACAGCAAACTACAATGTAAGCTTCCAGACGAAATGTCTTACCTCGTTCCCTACAACTCGGTAACATCTTTGACCTTGGCAAAATATAGAAGCTCATTAAGGGGAGAGATCGTATCATTACTACATTGATATGTACTCACTACGTAGCTCCAAACTCGAACTGCGATGAAAACGAGGATAAAAAATCAAACTTGTTAAAAAGAAAAAACGTTTTGTCTTTATGTATTTTATTTCTTGTCATACAAAAAGGCGATCAGGCAAAGGCCTAAGTCAGATACATTCCGTCTGACGAAGCCCAGTGAGGCTTGTGTATAGCATCAGCAATATATAAATTTTAAGTAGAAAAAAAAAGTAAAATATATACAGAAAACAACGGCACGAAGTTATACATTCCATTACATCTTGAAGTCAAAAATGCACTCAACGAATTTTTTACGATGGCTACATGGAAACACACTTAGGTTTTTTCAGTATTTCTATTACTTCCAGAATGGTGAAATTATTTTTGCAATAATTATCCGATTAAGGCAATCAAAGGTTCACAGTAACACCCCCAAAAAGTAATAAAATGCAAGTACTTTCATTACTTAAAGTAAGTTCCGAAAAAAATGTTTTTCATGGACTCTGAAAGCAGAAATTTCGGTCACAACAACGACATAATAAATTCTGCATACAAATTGAGCATTCCGAAACTGCCTTCTCTCCGAACGCGAAGCTTCATGTGTCTTTCGTGGCGGTCTAGTCTTTTTTAAATCACTAATGGAAATAAGAATCTCAGTCTGCTGGTGATCTACTGAGGTGCTAACCTACAGTTTCGGTGCCACACGTAACACAAGGCCTGAGCATGACGTCACCTGTTAGCGGACCCACAAGCGGCAAACAGGCAGAAGCTCTATACAAGAAACGCCGCACAGCGACAGACGCGTCCCTCTCGATTTTTCCACGAACTAGCTTCGCGCTCATTTTTAGACACTGCAAGACGACCGCGACGCAAGCTAGGCCTCACTTCGGGGATTCACTACTAATGGCGCTTGGAGGGAAAGGCGTATGCGTTGTCTCCGAGGCGGTATTGCAAGGGCCGCAAGAAACTCTGGCTCTGACGTCGGCTTCGCTGGAGTTTCCGCGTCCTTACTGTCTCATATTTTTTTGCCTAAATTTTGTTTTTATTTTAGGTAATTGCCTGCAATTACCTCTACTCACCTGACTCCCCATTGCCCTTCGGCGTTTGCCATTTCTTTTCCCAGCAATCGTGTCCGGGGCCTTATGTAATCCCGAGGTTGTGGAGAAGGCGAGAACGAGGCTGAACACCCAAGCGCTCTACGTACGTTAACTATCCCGAAGCCGTTTCTTCGCCATGAAATGTTTTCCCCCGTTTCATAGAGTTCCTAAACTATGCCTGCCAATGATGCGACCTTTCAGATTATGTACGGAGCCACCGAAACCAGTCCGATCTTCTGCAGCACGAATCCGGACGAACCGACGGACCGCTGGATTCGGACGGTTGGGACACCGTTGGACCACGTTGAGGTCTGTATGCACCGGTCGCCAGTCAATTTCGGCAGTGGATAACCAGGAATGGACGGTGTAATTTACTTTTATTTCGGTTTTCTAGTTGGGCTATTCACGTCTCCAGAAATATCCGTGCTCTAGCCTACCTGATAGAGAAAACAGACTGACGACAATGCCTCTAACGTTTTGTACACCGCGTTGAGAGGATGGTTCTAGCTCGGCCCGGTGCGGGACGATCGTGTTGTTACGTTAATTTGCACGGAACATCCATCGGCCGCGAGCGAATTGCGAACAGCGGAGCAGATGGCCTTCGATGCGTGCTGCGGAACCGAGAGGCAACTATGAACTGATAGAACTGTGGCTTGGAGAAAAGGCCTATGTAAACATTAACTGAATTCTCGGACGTCACGCTCCTCATGTGGCGCTGCTGTCTGCAGTGATCATGCGCAGACGTATTGCCTTTGGCGAATTTGGTTCCTGCACGCGTCCAGGACCCAAACGCGATGTGGGCGAATGGGTGGCTACCTTGTTAACGGTGGGTTGGTGTCTGCCCATCGGAGTAAATGCGCACCTTCGCAGTCCCGCTTCCATTCCTCAGTTTTATGCTTCCTACCTTACTCTAGGTTGCGAAGCGTGTATCGGAGGGCGCGCACTCTGCTGCTCCCATTTTATTCGAACTCGATGGTACACGTGTCCCGGTCTTAAAGAGCATCAGCCAAATTGTCCATTCATTAGTAAATATCTGTACTAACCATATTAATGTGAGCGCGAGGTCTTAAAAATAAATTGAGATTAAATAATGGCCATTTCACATAGAAAGATTACACAAAAACTGGACAAGCTGCAAAAAGCTAAATTTTTTTAAAGAGGTGTATATGTTGTCCCTTTAAGGAGAACATAGCGAAAACATAGTTAAGAAAACGGGGAATCAAAATAAATTTTTTCGAATCAAAATTGCCGTCAGAAAAAGTTCTCGGTCAACACCGTCCCCCCAAAAATTGCACTGTAAAACGTTTTTTTTTTTTTTTTTTTCAAGCTCGAATCCGAACAAAATGGTCAAAGTAAAGTTTTCCGACGTTAATTTCTTGATCCTAACGAATATTTCAACTCCTTGCACTCTATAAAATTTAATCTGAAGAACGGTAAATTTTTCCGAAATAGTTGTTACTGGACGTTCTATATTTATATCGTATATATGCGTGATTATCTTTAAAACGGCGCTTAAAAAAAGATGTCAGATCTACAATGCTTGTAAAAACAGAATATATGCTGGGCCAATTCTTCACTAGGGCATAACTGGAAACAGTTTTTGCTACATATATTTAGTAATCGACATTCTAACTTTCAAAGAATCAAAGAAAAGTTTGGGAGTGTGCGAGATTACTAGAGGTGGCGTATTTGGGACCTTCAGCAAGCTCATATACATTACACAAAACAAACAAAAAAAGTTTTGGATGATTTTTTTCTAAATTATATTAAAAGTGCCAAATACTCTCACGAAAGACAAATGAAGTGGTGGGCAATAATTGGAAAAACTAAACGTTTAATGGGGCGAACTTGTGCCGAAAACATAATGAAAATAATAACAGGCATCGCAGGAGGGCGTCGATGAAGGCGTCGTAGCAGGATGGAGCGCTTGCGAAGAACTGACCTCGTAGAACCACGCGGAGCGGCTTAATTGTATAACGCACGCGCGTTTTTCATGAACATTCCAACTAGAATGTTTAGCCTTCGAACATTCTAAAATAGACGCTTCTCTGACATTATAAAAACTATTATTACAACACAACAATAAAAGTGGCGCGGCCCTCAGGGTGCGAGTCGGGTGCGTTGCAACTCGGCCACACACGCGGTAATATGCATAAAATTGTGTTTCTCTTAATTTTTGTAAAAAGTAACGGAGCCTCACCTTTTTGAGAACTTACCCGATTTAGGTGATGACATAAATGACTGAATGAATGAGGGTTTATGACATAAATGACATATAAAATGAAATTTGAAACAAATAAAAATTTAACACGTACAATATTTTTACTCAGAAGGTTATCTTAGCGGGAAAAGTATTTGAATATGAAAAATAACTTTAAAAGTAGAAATTTCAAAATCAATTTTCTCAAAATATAATTTTGTTTTTCATTTATCGTATGATGAGCTTTAGGAATGATGCAAGATATTTAATAAAAACAGGTGTAATAAAGGCTACGGAAATATAAATGCGTACATTTGAAATGACAAAATCGTTGAAGTTATATTCTGAAATTCGCAACTTGGCATCAATTGCATGCCTATTAACTTAGATATTGACATCTTGCCAGGGTCTTCGTCGTCTTCGATCTAACATAATTAAATGAGGTAAAGCTGATGAGTACGTGGGATATTATGCTTAATACAAGGTGTATTTATACATATGTCTGTATTATTAACTTAAAGAAGTAAAAAAAAGAAGGATTATACAAGTAATAAATTTTCTTATGAGGATTATGCGGAATGGCAAAGTACTTCGGGAAAGGAAGTATTTTCAATAAACCGGTAACCCAGTATGAAATTCGGGCTCTTTCAGACTGTAGCATCTCCACACACGCTACGCCTCGTGAGAAGGTACCTAATTTAAGCCTAGTATTTTTTCTTAAAAAAAGAAACAAACTTGCATACACCATGGAGAATATCGATTATGGTACAAAAAATATCTTGTAGCGCAAGTTCACAAGAACATTTATCCTGACTAAAACGCGTCGTTCAAGCGGGTTACATTTCACGCCAATACTAATGGGTGATTTCAGATAAGATCGACCAAAGGGTGGCTGGTCGACATTTTTAAATCAACTGATCTTTTTATATGACATTGTCTAGTGTCTGGTATAAACGAATCCACACTTAGTTTTGACCAGAAAAAAGATTTGGAGACAAGAAAAATCGTAAGGCAGGGAGAGGTGGACAGTTGCAATAACGCGCACTGATGGAGGGGCAAGTTTGAAAGTGAATAATTAAAACAATAAAATTAGGAGAATTTTAAACCTTTTTACAAACAAACTATGGGTACAACGTGCTTGTAATATAAAGTAATCATATTTATTAAAAATTTATTTAGTTTTCTAAAAATTGCCAAACATGCCTGCTCGAACGACAAATGGCAAACTTTGGAAATCTGTATCTCATGAAATAATTTAATCATTATTACATAACTTGCAGACATTATTTTACAAATATATGGCTATTATTGAAAAAATAAATAATGTATCTGAGTGACACAATAGTTACAATATATTTAGGCAAACATGGGAAAAAAATCAAACAAAGAAAAATTCCAATGCGAATAAAAAAAAAAACACCACCTTCGATTTTTTTTAAATTTGGGTACCCTGTTATACTCTATTTCGGCATTCATTTCTATTAAAAACATGTTGCATCATTGCACTGTGAAAGAAGAAACAACTCCCCAAAGTAGGGTCCTTTTTCAAAGCCTACACTTAGCAGTGTCCTATACAAGAAGTGACTCTGAGTTCCAGTTTCATGAAACTTGCACAAATCTTTTATATACATTTATTCAGATGAGGTCATTGATAAAAAGAGCGATCGGTCACACAGTAAAAGGGAGGAGAAACTATATTTAGCATTTTACATAAGCGTACAAAGTGGTATCATATTAGAGACTAATGATTTGAGAAAAGATGATGCAGTGTGAAGTTGTACCTTCCGGTATATTTTACATCTAGAGTAAAATAAATAACTTTACTTCCACACACAAAAACAAAGATATAATAGTAAGATATTTAGGTTGGCTGTGTATTTACGATTACAAACAATTTCAGGTGACGGATGCCATAGTGCATAACTGGAGCAGCTTCGATGCTCTCGGTGTATGAATGAATCGTGGCAAGCCGATATATTTTATCCTGCTCGAGGATAACATTTTGGGATTTTTTTTATAGTGATCAGATAAAAATTATTAGTAACCACCAACAAAAACAGTAGGTTAAATACCCCGTGAAGAAAAATGTGATAAATAAGATGTCCCTGCATTCAAAATGAGCAGTCCTTGGGAAATCAAATTCGGCACTTTACGCTATGGTTTTCCTCGCTGTACCCATTTAATAAAGTTGCTTCCAAGCAGATCCGACTGTCCGTGCTACATATACGTCACAGGTCCCTTCTGTTGATGACTTGCTGAGCCGCCACGCGTGCCAAGACTGAATGCCAGGGAAGGCGCGCACCGTCAGCCACTCTTCTTTTTTTTTGTTCACGATACCGAACAACCTCATTTTCGTCCAGATATACAAGATGCACGACTTTCAGTTTCTTTGATAGAACGCTCACCATTGTCCTGGCCGTCTGAATTGCGCTTACTGAACGTTCTCTCAGGTTGTTCAGCGTGGCCTGGTGCTTCACGAGTCCGCCAACTCCGTCACATGCATTTTTCCCATGTCCAGATGCAGCAAATAACCACTTATTGTGGCTTGTGGGCATCGTCCTTTGCAAATTGGTGAAGCTGGTAGCGATTCTTGAAATGACTGGCGGCGCCGTCACTTACGTACGTCACGTACGAGTATACCGCAACGTTGTCTTCAACCCACTCCTTCACTTTTTCTAGAGCCAAGCAAGCGTGAGCGGCGTCGTGACACAGGTCCTCACTGATGATGGCAAAGCTGTTTGTAGATTTTCTTGTCGTCACTACACATGTAAATATCGAAACTTGTTGTTTTTTCCAGTGATATGCTTGCACTTCGTCAGGAAGCACGATGGTCCAGTTTTCAGCAAAGTCAAAAGGAAAGACAATGCTCCCGCGTTGCATGCACTGTTTTTCATCGTAGATCGCTTTACCTTGCGTTTGCCGGATATGGTTGTGAAGTACCCAACTTCCAACCGTCACTTGGATGACTTTTAGGAAAGTCTCAGGTTCCAAAGTTTTTTTCACAAGGTCGCCGGACTCCCATGTTGCAAGCACAATCTCTTCATCCTCCGGGATATCAAGTTCCTGTAGCGAAAGAAACTGGCCTTTTGGGCAGTGATCAGTCTCCTTG